GGCAGGAGCGAGGGGGAGCCCGGGGAGCGAGCGGGGAGGAGCCGGTACCGAGAGGTGCGGGGGGACATGGTCCAGGAGGGTCCAGTACCGGGGGTGTCGGACCCCCGGAGGCGCGGGGGACGGGGGGCGGTCGCCCGGAGAGGTCGGGGCGTTTGCCCCAAGCCCCTGCCGGGTCCCGGGGTGGGATCGCACCCATCGCCCCCGGCCGTGGGGCGGCCGGCAGCGGCCCCGGGGCGGAGGGCAGGGGCAGATGGGCGTCCGGGAGCCCCGAGGGCAGCGCCTGGGGCAGAGCCCCCGCAGCACCCCGAGCTGCAGGCTTGGCCTCATCCCGCCTGACCGGAGACCGACATCTCCCATGAAAAACAAACTTCCCTTTTACCTCCCGCCGCGGGGGGACCACCCGCAAGGCCTGGAGGAACCGCCGATGGTTGGGCTCCCTCCAAGGCCACCGCTGCCCCAGGAGCCCCTGAGACAGGATGGGACAGCCCTGCCACCGGGCTGAGGGGCAGCACCCAGCTGCTCCCCACAGCCTCCCAGCTGGGATGGGGCTTCTCAAAAAGGGGGCAATATCCGTGAATGCTGGCAGCCAGGGCCCTTCCCCCTCTCCCCAAACACATACCAGGTGAAACTGCAGTTTGGGGGTGAGGATGGAGGGCTGGGAGCAGTGGGAATGGCTCTGGTGGCCTGAGCCATTGTTTCATTCCCGTATCTACAAGCTGGCCCAGCTGCCCTGGGCCCGGGCTGCCCGTGCACCCGAGGATGTTGAGGATTAGTGCTGCTGATGGCAGGCGTCCACAGAGCGAGTTGCGAAATAAAACCACGTCTCGACTCCCGTCAGCTCCATCCCCAGCCTCTGCTGTGCAGTTTCCTCCAGGTCCTTAATGGGGCATTGACTCCAGCCCCTCTTCCATGCAATGACCTTCCTCCCTGCAGAAAACTGCCGTCCCAGCACGAAGCCCGCAGCACTTTTCAGGTTTCACAGTTCCTCACTAAAGTAACGTTCTCAGCAAAACTGTCCCAGGCACGTGGGCTGCATCCCTCAGCAGGGCTCCGGCCACACGTGCTGCAAACGCCGCTGACAGTGACCCCGTCCCCAGCAGCCTCCCCGGCTTTACCTGCCACTGTGGGAAGTGACATGCCCAAACCCAAGAGCCCCCAGAATAAGCACAGAGCTGAGCAGGCACTTCCCCCCCATCGCAGGGGATGTGGGACCATGGGAGAAGCATCCTGAACGGAGCAGGTTTGGGCTGAGCAGCAGAGCTGGGTGCTGGAGCAGGGCACGTTGTCTCCCTGCAGCCATCCCGTCGGGACAGGAGGGACTTCTCTGCACCAGAGTGGCTGGTCCTGTGCAGAACCAGTGACCCTCAGTTCCCTTCCTTGAGGACTTCCCTGTTTCAGCAGCATCCATGTCCAAAAGGGGAACACGGCCCAGGGTTGCAGCCCATTGAGGCCCCATGGCCATGCAGAGCGTGGCTGCACTGTGGGAGACTCCAAGGGTTGGGGTGCGACCCAGCAGGAGGTGGCAGGTTGACCCACTGGGGACAGCAGGGCTGGGTGTCCCCAGCATGTCCAAGCCACCCTGCAGCCCCCTGGGCTTCTGGGTCCCAGGCTGGAGGGAGGGAGAGAGTAGGAGCAGCAGGAGGAGAGATGGTGCTGGGGAGGCAGCAGGCACCCTGCTGTGGGGCACATCTGCACAAAAGGAGGTACCCCATGGGATGGACCTGGCTGTGACCCGCTGGACTGGACTTCAGGTGGTGGGGACAGGCCTTTGCATAGTCCCTCCACTGGCTTGAGGACCTCCCAGCAAGGATTTCATCTCCGTGAGAAGCTTCTCCTGGGACTTGAGGACAGCTGGGACCAGCATCTGTGTGTCCTGCTGGGGACAGGACACGGCCTGGGGAAGCACATTCCCAAAGCGGCTGGGACAGATGCACTGTGACCAACCCCCGGAGCTGACTGCTGCATGCCTGGATCAAAGCAGACTTCACTACGTTGGGGGGAAATAAAAAAAGATACCCAGGATATACATGAAAGGATGGCGCTCTTCCAAGCCTTAATTAGGGAGGGAGATATCTGATTGAGGAATCAGGGGAACTGCACCGTGCCCCGGGGTGCTGTCAGCAGAGCGGCCGGGCTCCTGCTGCACCAGGAGGACCACAGCCCTAATCTACCCCTCGGATCTGCTCTCGAAGACCAAATAACAGGATGTTGGGCTGAGGCTGGGATCTCCTGCTCATTTGGTGTTTGCTGCTTTGAGCACTTCTACTTGACTCCTTTGCTGGCTGCACCTTGGCTCCGAACCATGCTGTTTGCTTTTTGTAGACTTTTCCTGTGCTGTGAGCGGAGCCAAGCCGGTCCGATGGTGTTTCTCTGTTTTCCCCAGCAGATATTGCCCTTGGCTGCTGCCTTGCCTTCAGGGGTGTAGTTTTGTACAAGCATTCAAGCAAAATAAGCCTGGCCATTCTCTCCACCCTCCTTGGGTGCTCACGCTGCTTCTCCCACTGGCAAACAGGAGGTGCTGGGGCACCTGGACATCACCATCTGCCCGAGCTCCAGCCATGGGTCAGGTTGGGCACGGACCCCTCTGATTTATGCCTGTTTCCACAGCCCATGGTTAACCACCCCCTCCCAGCACAGCCTCTCTGCAATGGAGCATCAGCCCGGGCTGCAGGGGGGAGCCCGCTGCCACACCGAGAGCCCCGTGGCTGCCTCACCCCCCCAGACAGCCTGGCCACCCATCCCTGCGGCCAGTAGCCCCACTCAGGTGCAGGGAGGAGGATGGCTGAGCCCCACGTGGCCTGCAGCTGTGGCCCTAGCACGCTGCTCTCGCTCGTGGTGTCGCCAGAAGTGGTTGCAGATGACAATCTGGCTGTGCCGTGAACGGCTCGTGGGCCCGAGGAAACCTCCCTGAATCAGAGAAAACAAGTGCGTGAGCTTTTCATCATCTCCAAAGCCTGTGGCCACGGAGCAACGTCCCGTTGAGCAAGCCCCGGCTCCAGCCCGGCCGTGATTCACCCCAGGTTGCTTTGGCTGCGGTTCGCAGAGCGGATGTTGTCCCCGAAATCTGGCATTTTTCAGCGGTGATGGGGCCTGTTGGCCAGCTCTGCCCCCACGGAGGGGGCTGCGCTCCAGCGCAGGGCCTGGCAGCGGCTTTCCCCACTTTCCCCACACCTGGAGCCATCCCGGCAGGGCCGGCGCAGGATTCCTGGCCGGGGAGAGGCACGGAGCCGCCGCGGGAGGGAGGCTGCCAAGGGATGCGAGGGGGTTGCTGTCGCAGGCCGGGACATGCACCGTCCCCCTCCCGCCCTCTTGGCTGGAACATACCGCTCCCGCCCCACCTCCGGGACCCCGCGGCGCTGACACCACCGTGAACCGCGGGAGGAGGCGGCTTGGCCAAGGCCGGCACGAGGCCAAACCCGCCGTGGAGGAACGCTCGGCCATGACATGGCACCCTGCCCCACGCTGGGGAGAGCCCCAGCAAACTGAACTTCTCCTGACTCTGAGAGACGGGGCAGGACACAACCTGCCGTGACCGAGCCCATGGCATGGAGCATCCTCCTGGACCCATGGAGCCCAACGTCAGCCCCACATCCCCCCCGGGTGTCAGCGGGCACGGCATGGGGCTGCCCTTTTTGGTGTTGCAAAATTTACCACAGAGTTGTGTGCGGAGGTACCGATGCAGGAACAGCCCAGAGGATGCTCCAGCTGCGCTGCAGCACGGCTCCCTTTGCGAAAAGTTCCCATCTTGTGAAAAACCAAAGGGGTGGTCTGACCTTAATTTGTCTTAGAGAAATAAGAACCTGCCAGCTGCCTCCCGTCTGGATGCATGAAAAAAATGTGAGATGAAAGGGCGTCTGACGGAAGGGCTGGGAGCTGAACGCGTCTTTGCAAGCCGCCCCCTGTGACGTGAGGGGTTTGGGGTCCCAGGGCTGAGCACAGCTGGGGCAGAGCCGCCAGCCAAGCCCCAGGCTCCTGGGAAGCCCCTGCCCTGCCCTGAGGCAGCAGCTGGCTGGGAGAGTGAGAAACCTTGCAAAATTAGATTTATGTTTCTAATATGTTAATTTTTAGCTGCAATTTCCTTTGGAAAAAATGTGGTTTCTATTCTGTGCGCCCATCCCTCCGCCCCGGTGCTGGAACCTGTTCCTAAATTCCAGCAGAATTTGAACCAGGTCCAGCGGGGGCCTGATGAGCTCATGGACCATGTGGAGCTGCTGAAGGACCCAGGAGACCTTCCTTCATCAACCGTGACGCTGGGCACACCGGGGATGGCTCTCGGTCCCTTCTGGTGCTCCAGTCCTGCTGCCCATCCCTGTCCCCACAGCCAGTGGCACCGGAGCCGAGCGCTGTGTCGGTGGCACCACTGTCCCCAAGCGCTGTGTGTCCCAGCGGGGCTGGTGACTTTTATTCTCCTGGCACAAAGGCCCCAACACGGGTCTGTGGGACCGACCCAGCTTGGTGGCAGTGCTGCTCCTGTCCCATGGGATCCTGCCACCATGGGGCTGTCGGGAAGGGACCCTTATCTGTCCCCTGCAGGCTGGGGCACGCAGGCGGCGGAGGAAGGGGCCGGGTGGGAGCCGGGGGAACGAGCCCAGCGGTGTCAGCCCTTTCCATCCGCTCGGGGTGGCGGGGGCGGGGGGGCCGCCTGCCAAAGCAAACACCAGCCCAGACAATTGCCATTATTAATATTATTATTATTAGCACCGGAGCTGTGTTTGCACTGCTTCACCCCCTCGCTGCGTGGCCACGGGGTGCAGGCAGCTCCTTCGGCAATCCCGGGCGTTTCGGATGAGGCCAATTTCCAGAAGGAAGGTGACAGCGTGGATGGAGGGTGACATGTCTCTCTCCCCACAGTGAATCCCTGCTGCTATTTCCCCTGCCAGCACCAAGGGGTGTGCGTGAGGGTCGGCCTGGGAGGATACGAGTGTGACTGCACGCGGACCGGGTACTTCGGGGCCAACTGCACCTCCCGTAAGTCCTTCTCGCCCAGAGGACCTCCCGGGGCAGCACGCTGTGTCTGCAGCACGTGCTGTCACCAGCACTGACAGCATGGGTGGGCTGGGGCCATTAACGGGCTTTGTTAGCAGAACAAGTGATTTACCTGGTCTGTCTCCCCCAGCCGAGCTCTGGACGCGCCTCCATGACTGGCTGAAGCCCAGTCCTGCCTTCTACCACTTCATCCTCACCCACTTCAAGTGGTTTTGGGACATTGTCAACAGCACCTTCATCAGGGACACTCTCATGAGGCTCATACTCACAGGTGAGGGGTTGGAGCGGGTCTCAGGGACACCCCGGGCATCAGCAGAGGTGTGGGTGGGGGTGGCGTGGCTGCAGTGATGCTGAGCAGCTCCCACGGGCATGGTGGGCACCAGCCTTGAGTCCCTTCACCCAGGGAGGTTGTCATCCCATCACGTCATCCCATCACATCATCCCATCACCCTGCCCAGGGAAGGCTGCCCGGTCAGGCAGCAGCAGGGAGCGGGGGTTGGAGGTTGGGCTGCCCATGCGTCCATCCCCAGCCATGTGTCCCCAGCTGTGTGTCCATCCCTGGCTGTGTGTCCATCCCTGGCTGTGTGTCCATCCCCAGCCGTGTGTCCATCCCCGGCTGCGTGCCGGGCTGCCAGCCAGCTGGCAATCACAAGCGGCTCTCGGAATGCCGCGGTCCCTGGGCCAAATGCTCTCAAGCAGCCGCACGGAAAGCAGCCCCTGGAAATATGGAGCTGGTCCTTTTACCCATGTCCCCGCATTCATCACTTTGGATAAATATTTAGGTTCCAGTCCTTGGAGCAGTAGTGACACATTCACATGGCTCCGGCTGTTGGTTTTACCATTTCTGTGTGGTTGTCATCTCATTCATCATCCAAGAACCCAGTACGAGCCCTCCTTTTCTGCAGGGAACTGCAGCCTTTAAAAGGCTGGGAGCAAAGCCTGGGGTGCCCACGTGCCTCCGCTGCCGGTACCTTTCTGGGTTTTGGGGTGGCAGGAGAGGGCATCTGGCAGCACCGAGCACGTGGGCAGGGGTTGAGGGCAGAGCCCATGGGGTGCTACCCTATGGCCTGGGCCCCACGGTGGTGATGGTGACCCCCTCCTCTCTCCTTCCAGTTCGTGCCAATCTCATCCCCAGCCCCCCCACCTTCAACTCCGACTATGGCTACATCAGCTGGGAGGCCTATGCCAACGTCAGCTATTACACCCGCGTCCTCCCACCCGTGCCAGACAACTGCCCCACGCCCATGGGGACCAAAGGTACGCAGCTGGACCCAGGGGGGACGGGCACTGTGGGGCTGAGGTGCCAGAGCAGCGCCCTGGGTCCATACTCAGTGCAGCATCGGTGTTTCCCACCCACCCGTGCCCAAGCTCTCGCTGCCATGGACACATCTGCCAGGCACTGCTGGCAGTGCCACATGCTATTGCTGGCCCCAAGGGCTGCAGGAGCTTGATGGCATCCAAAAGGCTGCTGGGCCAACTCAGGTTGGGCTGCTGAGGCATGTCGTAGCTTGTGTAGGAGCACTATGAGGCAGAGTAATCAGTGCCTGGTGCTGCAGCAGATACAACAGTGCCCACCGACGGCCCCATGGCCAGCACTGGTACCCAGCTGGGTTGGGCATGGGGCATCTACCCTCAGCCTCCATCCTTTGCAGGGAAGCAGCAGCTCCCCGACCCCCAGCTCCTGGCAGAGAGGTTCCTGCTGCGGCAGAAGTTTGAAGCCGATCCCCGAGGCACCAACCTGATGTTTGCCTTCTTCGCCCAGCATTTCACCCACCAGTTCTTCAAGACGTCCGGGAAGATGGGACGTGGCTTCACCAAGGCGCTGGGGCACGGGGTGAGGAGGACACGGGGGCATGCAGGGAGTGAGGAGAGGGACCAGGGCACACACAGCCTTTTGGAGTCACCTTGACACTGTGATCTCTTGCAGGTGGATCTGGGGCACGTGTACGGGGACAACCTGCAGCGGCAGCACCAGCTGCGGCTCTTCCGAGACGGGAAGCTGAAATTCCAGGTACCACCTGGCATGACTGAAACATGTCTCAGCCCTGTGATCCAGGGTTGTTTGAAGCCCATGTCCTTCCAGCAGCTCCTGGACCGGAGACTCCCAGGGGCATCAGGAGACCCCAGCCCTGTCAGAGACTCCATCCCTGGTGCCCCATGCGGAGCACTGCCAGGGCCTCTCTTGGTGGCTGCTGACGGGAGGGACGAGCTTTGGGGTCAAGCTGTTCTGATGGCAGCAGGGGTCCTGCATGAGGGGGATGTGCCCATCCTACTTGGTGCTTGTGGGAGAGCGGCCATGGTGCCCATGGGGAGGCAGGGCCCAGCTGGACAGGCTTTCAGCTGGGCGGTTTTCTCCCCTCCTCCCTTTCTGCCACCCCGTTCTTGTCTCCCCAAGGTGGTGGATGGAGAGGTGTACCCCCCCATGGTCACCCATGCTCCGGTTCACATGGTCTACCCGCCTGCCGTCCCCAAGGAGAAGCAGCTGGCGATGGGGCAGGAGGTGTTTGGGCTGCTGCCGGGGCTCTGCATGTACGCCACGCTCTGGCTGCGCGAGCACAACCGGGTCTGCGACATCCTGAAACAGGAGCATCCCACCTGGAGCGACGAGCAGCTCTTCCAGACAGCTCGTCTCATCCTCATCGGTGAGGACCAGCGGTGCCACGGGGCAGGGGCACCACAGAGCCCTGTGTCCCACCTCCCCGGGCAGGTCCCAAGAACTTGGACATTAATTGGTCTCTGAAGGTAGTGGCCAGGCTGAAGGAGGATGCTGGAGGAGTTTCTCTGGCAGCCTTTTGGGGATCATTGGCTTTGGTCCATATAGCAAAAATTGGCTTTGGTCCATCAAAAAATTTATTTTGAATAATTTTGTCATAATTTTGAATTATTTCATGTTAATGTTCTTTTATAAATTTGACCAAAATCCAGAAGAGACCCCTGTCACCACATTGCCTCTAAGAAGCGTATCAAGGCCAGCTTCCTCAGGGGCCATTTCAGTTTTGGCAGACTGGTCTTTGCTGGTGAAAAAAAACATTCACTGAAAAATTCCCAACCAGCTCAAGCCTGTAGTCAGAAAGGTCCCAGGTGGTGGGTGGGTGCTGGGACGTGCTGCCATAGCACTTGGGTAACTTTGTTCAGGTACAGAGCTTCTCTCACCTCCTGCCCAGGGGAGACCATTAAGATCGTCATTGAAGACTATGTCCAGCACCTCAGCGGGTACTACCTGAGCCTCAAGTTTGACCCCGAGCTGCTGTTTGGGACACAGTTCCAGTACCGGAATCGCATCGCGGTGGAGTTCAACCAGCTCTATCACTGGCACGGGCTGATGCCCGACTCCTTCATCATCCAGGGGGACGAGTACAGCTACGAGCAGTTCCTCTACAACACCTCCATGCTCCTGGACTACGGCGTGGAGGCGCTGGTGGAGTCCTTTTCCAAGCAGGTTGCAGGAAGGGTAAGGTCCTGCTCCCCCCTCCCTGCCAGCGCCGGGGCTGGGGGACCTGGGATGGGATGCTGGTGGTACCAGGATGGCAGTGCCGTTACAGCAGTAAGGAACATCTGCCTTCAGCAGTGGGTTGTGGGTCACACGTAGAGTCTTCTGCTCAGGGCAGTGCCTGACAGGCACGTCACGAGTCCTCCCCACAAGCACGGGTGCAAGGCTGGGCCTTGGCAGCCCCGTCTCTTGCTCTGGGGACTCTGTGGTAAACACTGTCGGTGCCAGGAGCTGAGCTGGGATCTCCCGCCCCGGGCTGTGGAGCTCCTCTGGCACGTTCTTTGCTGCCATCACATGGATGTTTTCTTCCAGGCGATTCCATCTGCATTTCTGACCCTCTTTGCTTGCGTAAAGCAGCAAGGCTGAGGCACAGACCCCCTGCTCTTTGGGTGTTTAGGTTCTCCCTGTGACCCCAAGCCCCCGTAATCTCTCCCCTCCTCCCAGGCCAGTGGGTCACCATCCATACAGGGCTTCTCCTGCACCATTCCCTGACCTGCCCTGGGAACAGGACTGACTTTACTCCAAGTTGCTCTACAGCTGCTTTTGGCACTGTCCATGGGTTCCCTGTCTTGGTGCTGCTGTGATGACATGGTGGTCTCCACGACACCGTGCCCAGCACATGGACGCTTTGGCGCGGTGGCTCCCTGTGAGCAGATGCTGGTGCTGCCTCGTGCCTCATGTGTGCTCCTCCTTGTGTTCTCGCCCTCCAGATCGGTGGGGCTCAAACCATCAATGCCAATGTCTTGCAAGTGGCCATTGGGGTCATCCAGGAATCCCGGCAGCTGAGGCTTCAGCCGTTTAACGAGTATCGGAAGAGGTTTGGCATGAAGCCCTACAAGTCCTTTCAGGAACTGACAGGTAGGGCTGCACAGGAGCTCTCGGGGCTTCGCTGGGGAAGCGCAGAAGCTCTGGGCTTGCTGTGGGGTACAGGACCACGAGCTGCTCCCCCGCCACTGGGCTTATTGGGCTTCTGCCCATCCAAGCCTTGCTTAGTGGTGATCCCAGCACCGGGACAGACAGGGCTGGGGCCTTGGTTGCAGGGGTCCTTCCTTCTTGGGGGGCTGGATGAGTGGTCCAGAGGGCAGTGCCTGGCCTGGGAGCCCAGCTCACCACTGCCTGGGTTGTGGGAGCTGCCACGTTGCCGTTACTCACAGCAGGGCCAGTCCTTGCTGGGGTGATTCCCTCATTAAAGCCCTCTGACGTTCACTTGGTGCAGGAGAGGAAGAGAAGGCGGCAGAGCTGGAGGAGCTGTATGGAGACATTGATGCTCTGGAGTTTTATCCGGGCTTGCTGCTTGAGAAACCTCAACCCAATGGTATTTTTGGGGAAAGCATGGTGGAGATTGGAGCTCCCTTTTCCCTGAAGGGGCTTTTTGGAAACCCCGTCTGCTCCCCAGAGTACTGGAAACCCAGTACCTTCGGCGGGGAGACTGGCTTTGAGATCGTTAAGACAGCATCGCTGGAGAAACTCGTGTGCCTCAACGTGAAGAAGTGCCCATATGTGGCATTTCACGTGCCGGATGCTTTAGAAAATGGCAGCCCTCGGGGTGGTGGACCATCTACTGAGCTCTAGCACCAGGACAGCCTGCCCAGGTACAGACTGTCATTGCCCAGGTGCCAGCTGAGCCGAGCTCCCAGCCTGGTGCTGAATGTCCCCTTTCTTCCTGCAGGGAGCGGCGGGGACACAGGGACCTGCCCACCCCTGTGCCGAGCAGAAGAAGGATAGAAGATGGTCCCATCCTGGGCATCCTCCACACCAGCCCTTGAGGAGGTGCTGGTACCAGCTCTGTGGAAAGCTGGAGCGCCTCAGGAGCGTGGCTGCCACCGCTGTCCTCAGCAGATCCAGTTCTCTTGCTAGTGAATACCTTGCACGAAGCCAGCTTTGGGGTTCCCCAGGGGACACCCCCCATCCCGGGATGCTCTGGACTCCCCTGTGCTTTGTCACCTTCCGTCCCCGCTGCTTTCCAGCACCAGGCCACCAGCACCCCTCTTCTGCAGGGCTTCCCCGCTCAGGACAGAGGAGCACGGAGCCCAGGGAGCCTTCACAGTCCGTCCAGTTGAGGCACTGAGCTCCCCAGGGGAGGTGGAGGAGGCAGGTGACAGCAGGCAGAGGGACGGGGAGGACACACTGTAGGAGGTCGTGCTGGCCCGGCGGTGGCTGAGTTTGCAGTAGGAACCTGCCCTGATCCACTTCTGCAGCCGCTCTGCACCGTCCGCCCCACACAGCCAAGAACAAGGAACCAAAGCAACATCTCTGCGGGAGGAGACCAGGGGAGAAGCATCAGATCAGACCTCCCAGACCTCCCACATCTCCCACCCGCTGGCCAGACCCCAGCAGGCACCGCTGGCCGCCCGAGCGGGGCTGCTCGGAGCAAGACGCTACCTCTGTGCAGACACAGTGATGATGTCTCTCCCCCTGTGATCGTTAACACTTCCCAGCGTTAATAGCTCAGCAATGGCGTCCCCCAGGCACACAGAGCCCACTTCTGTCCTGCTCCAGAAACACACGCAGATGTCCCCCCTCGCAGACACAATGATGTGGTGGCTGGCAGCCACTGCCACTGGCCTTGATCCCCAATCAGATCCCGCTTCACCTCCAGGAGAACAGACATTTAAAATAATAAATGATTTCAAAAACTCATTTCCTCCAGCCAGTTTCCAAGTGTCGTCTCGCCAGCGCCAGGCCCTGCAAGGGGGCAGGATGCTCAGGAGGCAGCAGGAGCTGGGGGAGAGGAGAAGTCCCTGGAGCGTTGGTGGAGGCTGGTGTCCCTGCTGGGATGTGGCCGTGCTCGCCGGCACCACGCCGTGTCACTGCCCACTGCATCAGAAGAAATAAACGGAGCCACCTTCCTCCTTGGGAATTGCCTCATTAGGGCGTCTCCTGTGACAGTTTGAGCTACGCTGCCCTCCGGCCACCACCACCCCGTGCTGCTCCGATGCTGGTGACACAGCGCTTACGTCCAACATTGTGTATTCCTGTCACATAAAATCTATCCACACATCAATCTTGCTGGCCAGGTGTTTTGTAGGCATGAAGTAGCCACTCTCTGTACCTTGGCTGTGGTTTGCCCCTGTGCTGAGCCAGAGGAGGGGACCACTTCTGGGTTCCTTCTCCGTCCTGGCAGGACATCTACCTGGCACGGTGACTTCATGCCACGAGGCCATGGGGGCTGTGCTGCTCCCAGCGGGATCTTCTTTGTGGGGTTCTCCACCCTGACCCCCCCAGGCACCACCGGCTGCTCCTCTGCCCATCACAAGAAGCCATGGGAGATGAGGAGAATCAGGGCAGGGAGTCCTGGTCCAGGGCACTGCCCCGAAAGCTGGGGCCAGGCAGCACGTGAGGGACCGGGCAGGCAGGGGGTGATGAGGGTGACAGATAGGGTATCTCCAGGTAGATACACCCAGCTAGACACAGCCCTCTTCTTGGGGCTGTGTGAACCCCAAAGACCGTTGACCATTTTGTGGGGAGTGACAACCCTATGATGTCTCCCCTTCTGCCCTGGAAGTTTCAATCATTTCTGGTTGCACCAGCTGGTTGTTTTTTTTATCCTTGATCAACCAAGTATATAATGACCCAAATTCCTCAGGAAGGGGTTGTGAAGCACTTCCAGGCGATAATAAAACTGGTTATAGGGAGGTGTTACAGGAGAGGTCACCAAGGCTCCTTACAGTTAGACCACAAACATCCTGCTTTTGTTTGTAGCTATTGAAAGCTGCCAGTGCTCTTTTGGTACCAACTGATAAGCGTACGAGAGCTCACCAGGCACACAGAGAGCTGCCTAGATGCCCTCTGCCTCCAAGGAGGAATATTCCACCAGGAATTGGCTCAGCTGAGCCAACACTGGTAAATCTGACATCTCCTCCAGCTGTGCCACCAGCTCCCACACGGTACAGTCCAGGACAGCAGAGCATCTCCCTGCTGCACCTCACCCTTCTGAGAGGGAGAAAAGCTGTGAAATAATTTCTTTTTAGGACTAACACGTACCAACCCCAGATACAGCATCCAACACACGATTGAGACCTCCTCCTCCTCCACGAGCCTGAGGACCCACCACCCCACACATGGACCTTCCCCCAGCCTGGCACTGCCCAGCCCTCGCCTTCTCTTTGCCAGTCTTTCAGCCGTGGCAGTTTGTAAAAATCACTCACATCTTCACCAGCTTGTCCATCACAACGTGTGGCCACATCCAAGGTAGAAGACAGTGGTTTACATCTAAACGTGGTGTTTAGTCTGGTGCCTCCACCAGCATCACCCAACGAAGGCTCTGAGAGCTCCCTGCCCCTGTGAGCTCTGGGGAGGGCACAGAGGTGAGTGCTGCTGTTTGAGCTCTTGGTAAACACAGCCCATGGGACCTCCTGGGAGCCCCTAAACCAGCCCCTCGGAGGAGCCCAGCCACCGTTTGCCCACGTGGGGACGGACGTAGCCTGTGTTCATGTGGCACAAACAGCAGCAATGAAAACATCTGCCTGTGGTTGTGTGCCATCTTAAGTGATGGTTCACTCAGCAAGGAGCTTATTGCCCACCAGGGCAGATCGTGTGAGGAAGGTCAATGGTCTGCAGCACTTCTTCATGCAGAGCCATCCCTACGGTTCGAGGGAAGGGCAGAGGTTGCAGCCAGGGCTACGGCTGCTCCCGGGTTTCCCTCTTGAGAAGCCCCCAGCCCCGCTGCCTTCTGTGGTGCCCAGCACTCTGCCCTGCCAAGATCAACGCTGGAAGCCACCTAAACCCCATGGTGGCAAAAATAACTGGGGCCCTGAGGCTGAGTGGAAAAGCCATTCCCTTGTTCAGTCACCCGGGCCCCCCGAGCCGCCCCAGCAGGTCCCTTTGTGGTGTGAGTCAGCCAGAGATCACACAGGAACGTTTGTTTGGATTTTCAATAAGGGCATATTTCAAACGTGCCAGAAAGAAGACGTAGATTGGAGGCCAAAAAAACCCCAACAAACCAGTATAAACTTTTCTAAATCTTGTCCCTCACTGCCTGGCACCCAGGTCTGCACCCTGATTAAATGCCCTCATTACACTCAGCCCGTGATTTCACTCCAAGCAGTTGCCTGGCACTTCCTTGCGCATTCGCCTTCCGTGGCCAGGTTCTGCTGTTTGTGTTGGAACATCATTAAACGGGAACAAACCCAGGAGATTTTACACTCCTCTCTCCCAGGGCAGTTATACCCTCCTGTAAGAATCGTCGTTTCTGGCTGCTTCCCTCTGCAGAAGGCTGCTTTTTCCAAAACAAAACATTTCCCAGAGGCAACACAACCTACCTGACAAGTGTTTTTCCCAGCTCCTATTTATAGCACTTCTTGAAGATGAAAGTCAGACACAGAGGTGACTGAGAGCTGGTACGTGCATCTTCTTCACCCGGAGGGTGCAGCAGCAGAACCAGAGCAGCTGCAGCACAAAAACCCACCGGCCAGAGCCACGACCTGCGGGAAGAGCCAAGCCTGGGGCTGTGTCTGTGCCCTCATCCTGCACTTGAGGAGCAGCAGATAGAAAACAGGACAGAAAAAAAGACAGAGACAGAGCACGTAACATCTCAGCAGGATCAAGTCTTGTTTGCTGGAGCTTAACTTGCAGTCACATTTTAGATATACCACCAGTGTGAATGTCTTAAAACATCTAAAGGTGATAAATACCAACCTCGTTTTCCAGGACCAGCTGTTTTCTTTCTGAGCTCTCTTGTCCTGTTGATTGAAGAAAGTTTGCTTTTATTTATGGCTTTTAGGTGCTGGCAGAATTGTGTTCAAAAAAGGTTAAAGCAGGAACAACCCCTGTGCAGCTCGGCTGCTGTGAGACGGCGTGACTGCGGCCACTTTGCACCAGGACTCCAGACCCCCTCGACCTTTCACAGGTGATGGTCGTGTCCTGGGCCAATCTCATCAGGTGCACTAAAAAACCAAGCAGAATTGGTGGTGAGAGGAGGTGGGGAAAGAAACAACCAGGAGACAAAAAAGGACACAAGCTCAAGGGCTGGTACCCAGCACAGCACCGAAGCCCACTATGGCAAAATCCGTCGGCTTTCGGCCCAGGACAATGTGCCAGGGAAGCTGCCGGGGCAGAAAAGAAGAGGTGAAACACCTTTGACAAAATGAAATACCATCCTTCATTCAGACACAAAGCAGTTAGCAGGAATGCATCCCTCTAAACGCAGTTCTGAGGGTGACAGAGTACGATGGCTGCGGGGGAAGGAGAGGCACCTGCATCAAAACAATCCCGATGCCAAGTTGAATGTTTCAAACCAGTTTTATTTTCTATAGGAATTCATACAGTTTCGTTTGCACTTTACTCCCCAAGTGCGTATATAAGTACACCCTGATTCTTAGTCTGCAGGTCAGGATCACATCTAAAACTAGAGAAATGAAGCAGAATTTAGTTGCGAGTTGTAGTTTTCATTTGTATGGAGCTCCTAAGGGACAGACACACATTAGTGAACTATTCTAAATGAGTTTTAGTTTGCTGTATAGTTTAATGCACATTAAGAATGCTGGGGTTTTTTAGGGCCAATTACCAGTTGGTGGGTTTGGAAGGATTTAGCTTGAGGAATGGACAAAAGCATCGGCGGCAGCGCCCAGCACTGCCTGTGCTCAGAACAGGGAGCAGCGCTACAGCTTATTATCCCCCAGGCTTATTATATCCTTATCCTTCCAGATCAATGATTAATTGGATTCAGAACTTTTTTTTTTTTCTTTTCCTTTTTGCTATTGGTGCTGTAAACCATCTATCACCTACCTGAGCACGGATGATGAATAACCAGGAGTCACCTTGCTGCGGGCCAGTCGACAAGAGCAGCAGGAGAGGGTTTGATCCCATTATAGTTTTGCTGCCACAGGGGCAAAAAAAAATGCACTTTATAAAAATAAAACTTCAAAGCAACTCAAGCAGTGAGCTCTCCCCCAGTCCCCTCTCTGAGCCAGGTTTTATTATGACGCCAACATGTACCCTTGTCTGCACGACAGACTTCCCTGAATCTCACCCTGAATATAAATTGCAGCTACTTTGATTATTTTTTCTTCTGAAATGGGCTGATACCTATACTCATTTAATTTCATAAAACCGGCATGGGTTTTTTCTGCAATTCTGAGATGAAAAGAAATCATCTCTTACCACATTTTAAAATCTGGATTTCTGCCAGTTTCCTTGAAACAGCCACAATTTGCGCCAATTCAGTAATTTTTAATTACAAATTATTTATTTTTCCTGCTTATACTACTTTTAAAAACACAGTTCCAATAGATACAATTACAAATTCTTCTTTTTTCTACCCTAAGATCCTTATTAAGAACCTAGTGCTTACACAGAGACATTCCCATTTCTTCCTGGTGTTCCAAAGTGCCGTGCATAAAACTGGCAATTAAATGTAATCATTAAGCACGGCATTACAGTGGGCCATATATTTAGGTAATGATAAGTCTACTTTCCTCAAAATTAAAAAATAACAAGCAAAGTTAAGTAATGCATGAGAAGGCAAACATGTTGTAATACCCAATGAAGCCTGTCGAAGACGACCCAGTAACAGGCAAGCGCAGGGCACACACGCCGTGTGCTCCTTTGTGCTGTGATCTGATTTGGGAATGAAGCAGAGCACAAACAAAACAAATAAACACACCTGAATGAAAATGTAATCGCTGACAAACGGAAACGACAACGGTGCTGCAGGAGGGAAGCACAACACACAGCTGCTGCGTTCAGAGATGATGCTCAGACGGGCTCAGCCGGCACCGGGTGGCTTTTCCCTGTGGCCAGAAGTGGGGGACACCCCGTGTTTTGGGGGCAGATGAGAACTTTATGGTCTGTCACTGGCAACGGAAACAGCTGCGGCAACGCTTTTGAGGAAGCCTCTGTTATTGCTTACAGAGGGAAACATTGCAACATCTCCACAAAGGTTTCACTTCCACCCCACAAGGTCTTTTTCTGGTAGTGAACTGTCCTGATGCTCGCCACAAAGAACGTGCTCCCCCAGAGCTGCCATCAGAGGAACAGCAGGGCAGTGGCAAGGTGTGTGATCCTGCTGAACACTCTGTGCAGAAAGTGGACACTGAGGTTCAGAGAAAGGAGTCAGCTGTGAAAGAATGGGCCTGCTCCCGACCACCCGTGTTGGTGACTGGTCCATGGGCTCACTGCTGCTTTCCCACAAAGGCATCCAGTCATCTCTCAGGTCCAGGGGCTACTGATACTCAAAATACATCTGCTGACACAGCTGAGGCAGATAATATGAAGGCAGACAGAAATAAACTGTAGCACTGATTTGGTAATTTTAGAGAGATATTAAATTCTGAGTTGAATTATTCAAGTCCTAATTCTGTATTTTGCCAACAAAACTCTCCCTGACGCTATTCAGCCCACGGCAGAGCTCCATACAATGGACCATCTCTCCTTTAAGAAGCAGAGATCTTTTTCTAATGAAGTGACTACTATGAACTTTAAGGGTGGGTATTTTAAAACCCAAGAATGGATTGAGAGCTGCAATTCAAAGAAAATTTTCTCATTTAAGTCTCAGGCAAGGTTAAAGGAAGAAGAACTCTCTCCAGCTGAAAAGCAATTTTCAGGATGAAGTCAGGGGGTGTTGTCACTTTTAAGTGTGAAAGGAACAGAAAATTTGATCCCCAGCGTTAAAACCAGAAGGTACTTCCAAGAAGGGGACTGCAAACTGGGGAATGGAGGATGGGACCTTGCATTGTAAATTGGCAGCAGTTCAGCTCCAGGTTAATAAAAGTCTTGAATGCCTGAAAACTTCCTCATTTGCTGTCTCAGGGAGCAGTGGCCACATCTCAATCCAACTACTATTCACATTACACTGGTTCAGGAGACCTGTCGGGAGACTCACCATACACAGCTCATCTGAGAACAAAGTGTTTTTAAGAAAAAAAATAATATAAGTGATTTAGAGATCAGAGATGACAATACACCATTTCCTAAACTTACTGCATTGTGTTAGAACTCCACGTTTAGTAAAACACATTTGAATTGGATAAAGGCAAGACTGTTTCAGTGTGTACTTTATTAATTTAAGAAACTGTTAGGAATTCCTTACATTATTTTTTACAAGCAAAAGTCAAAGTGCATGATGGGGAAGAATACATACCCACACTAGAGCAGAAGGAGAACAATCCCTATAGCACAAGAACATCCCACAGTACAACTACACCTACTGGCCCTGGCTCTAGGTGGTTCAGTCTATTTCCAGATCACTGTCTTCACTGTAACACGCAGAGGGATTATGTATAGAAGTCAGGAGCACCAGGTCCTTTTCTGGAAGCAAACTACATTCCTGCAGAAAAGCCTCCAGGTCAACAGCAAAAAAATCTTCTCCAAGCTGGTCAGTGATTCGCACAAAATTGCCGATGAGCTCACCTGCCTTGTAGACCAGCAACGCCGGCAGAGCGTTGTTGGTGAAGCGAGCGCTGGCGCCGATGAGGGAACTCTTCACTCTGCAAAATTTAACCGTTGGGTACTCTGCAGCCAGGCAGATCATGCAGCCGTGCAGGGACTCGGTGCCAGGGATATCATCTTCATAAATATGGATCATGATCAGCGTGCTCTTATGCTCTTTATCAACCGTGTCCAAAAACGCTTCTCCACTGGTGATCTCAAAAACCTGTTTGAATTGCTGCCCGCTGTACAACTGCTGCCTCATCTCCTCCATTCGCTGCTTCCTGTATCGCTGCAGGAACTCCTCATCATCTTCATCATTGTGAATCATGTTATACTCTTGTAACGTCATCTAAAAAAAAAACCATGCAAAGATACATGAAAAAGAAAAAGAGATCTGCATCACTATATGGGTCACTTATATAATGAGAATTTAAATCAAGAGGATTAATGTGGGTCACTCATCTTTTATAACAGCAAAGTGCAACCCGTGAAGGCTCAAGCACCCTCTGCATTATACTCCACTTTGATCTAATTAGAAACCGTGTCCATTGGGAACAGTGATTTCAGCCTTGGCTATTCCAGTTTCCAGGAGCTACGCTAATAACACAAGTGGCTGCTCCCACTTTAATCCAGGTTAATGGTGGCTCTGTGCTCTCCCTAAGCTACAGGCACTGGTTTGGGTACCGTGCCTGACCCAAGTCTACCTTCTTTCTCATTAGCTTTTCCATTTAGTTTTTCAGTTAACATCTCACAGCAACCAAATGCACTCTCTTGTCTGTAGAGCTAAAATTAACAGGATTTTATGTATTTCGTATCTGTTCACTTGCTTCCTTAAACGTATTTGCATCCCTCAAAGTATAGAGAGCATGGCCAACTTTCATCATCTGAAAGCAAGAATCACTGTCTGCTAATTAGTAACTTGTCTGACTAGAACTGTAAGAGCTAATCATACAGCCCAGCTGACTGAAACCACTCACTCCCAACGCCTTCTATCTGTGGAGCTCAAAGTCAAAGCTGAATTCTCAACATCCACTTACTAAACATGAAATCCATAAGGACTCCTAAACTCCTTTTAGGCAAAAAGGCATGGGACCCTTTTTGTTTTAGGCAGTTTTAGGCATGGGAGACAGTATTCATAGGTTTGCTGTATAACTCCTCGCATCCATCCCCCGAAGTCGACTTATTTGATAAACAGATCAGGGAAATCTGGGAAAAGGAGCTGGACTTCTTTGGCACAGCAGCTAAATTGCTTAACACAGGCAAATGCAATGCTCCTGGAATACCACTAAAATGCAAAATAAACTAGACAACACCTGGCAAATACAGTTATAAAGCACCTTTTAGACCACTGCTGTGTTCCTCTTTACTAGGGAGAAACTGTAAGTATCTACTGATAGAACAAGGATTTCTACCTGCTTCACATACACAAAGGATGAAACTCAAAGTATTAAACATTTAAGTGACATTTTAATTCCCTTGTGCCACGCTACCTTTCCATTGATTTTTTCCTGAAGCTCTTTCTGCTTCTGCTTCTCAGTCTCCTCATCCAAGTGAGATCTGCATGTCATAGACAATTTCTTGATGAGCCGTTCCATTTCTCTGCGCTGCTCCTGCCGCTGTTCGGTTTCCAGTTGTTTAAATCTTCGCCAGTCATTAATGACTCCTTTGGGACCTGAAATTAAATATATAGGCATTTCGCATGAAAGGGTAATAGAATTACACCTAACATTTAAAATTCAAGTAATAATTTATAAGTCAATAGTAAAATAGTGGCCCTGCCATAAACCCTTTGTATATTGTGCAAAATGTTGAAATGAAATTAAAAAAGTAAATTGCCACTTACACATCCTTCAGCTTGTATCTATTTTTTTAAGACGACTAAAGTTTATCTAACATCTCTCATAATTGTTCCAAAGATTATGCCAATGATTAATATCTGTGTTCTTGAAATAGAACCACCCTCAAGAACTCCCCTATTGTTAGCATGGCTTTTCGTAAGAACAAAAATAACGATGGGGAAGTATAATTAATGTTCCTGTGCAGAAGTACATTCTGTGATGTCCAATAGCATTAATTCTTACAGACTGCACTTCCCTGTGACCTTACTGGGGGCCCAGCAGAAAGGTCCCTTCTCAGTATGACAGTTTAATGCTATAATTCTTCCATTCTTCCTTCAGGTGAAAGATATGAACACACACAGGAAGAAGATTTTTCATCATTCTTAGAGAAACCGTAAAACAGAGAGACAGTCTTTCATAAGAACATAGGAAATAAATACCCTCTGGATCACACCAACCGTCCACACAGACTGTTATTGTTCTCTGACAGTGGCAGCAGAGAACACTATTTTGGGAAAGCCTGGCCACTTTTTATCTATTCCTCATGTACTCGTTCAGCATTATCAACCAAATTGTACAAATCAGCTCTGTACACAAAGCCTAACTGCTTTACATATAATGCTGAAGTCTCTGAGAGAAGTCAAACATTAAAAGAAAAAACTGGCTATTAAAAATAAGGTTAGATATAGCCAGGAAATGATCCATCTCTGACTCAAGTGTGCACAAAAACAGGACTTTCAGGTCAAAAAATGAATTTTAGAGAAACATACGAATCTTCCAATAAAAGAAGTATTCACAAAACAATTAGTTTGCTCTGACAGTACCTGTGTTGACTGCGCTGCCATCGCTGCTAAGCTCTACTTCCCCAACGCTTTCAGGAACGGTGCTCTCCCCTTCTTTATCTTCTTTCTCACTGTCTTCATCCTCACCCTCGCTACTGCTGTAATAGTACTGCAGCTTCTCACCAAGCAGTTTGTCATCCAAAGCAGTCATTGTGCTCTAAAAAATAAATTAACAAAATATAGAATGCATCTCTTATTCAAGTACGCATCGCGAGATACCACTTCAACTGCATAATGATGGTTCTTTAATTCCTTGGAGCAGTTTTTTAGCCACATAAACCAGTTTAGAGCCCACTATCAAACAGCCTGCAGTGCAGTCAGTCACGTGAACTAATTCTTCAGCACAATTTCAAACTCACTTAAGTTAAAAAACTTTACAAACAGAGCTGCTCTGAGGCTCACTCGTGCAGAAACACTTTTATGTGTGTTCTCATTCACGGAGAATTAATTTTCCAACCGCGATGCGGGAATCTTATCAGCCTCATTCAGACATCTCCATGCGGTTGATTTCCCAGTTATTGAAATTTAAATTTCCAGTATTATTTGCATTATTTTAACAATGATTTGTTTGAGCTGAAAAATGATCGATGTAATTAATCAAATTAAAATGTGCTGACCTTTATTCCTTTCCAGTGTTGCAGAGACAAGCTTCTATCAAAACCTGGAAGAACATCAATTCAAATTATTGAAGACAATCTCAAAAAAACTGTTGCAGAAATCCAGCACATTTAAATAACGTAACGCATGCAAGGAAAAAATTTAAAGGGAATGTAACCATGTTTGCTGTTTAATAAAAAAGGTTACTCTGCAACACAGAAAACAGATTTTCTAAGTATTGAGACAGAACGTACAAACACTTAGTGCAGTCAGTGCTACAGCTTCATGAACATCACTTCCAGGCTAAGAAATAACATATCAAAAGAAAGATCTTCACGTCTGTCATCTTCTCTCCTGCTCACTGACCACATGGGGCTCAACAGCATCCTGCCTGCACAGACAGCACTGACACCAGATGCTGACACGCTGATCAAGTGAATGCGACCATCCTAAAAATCCTCACAAACATTTTTTTGATCCAAAATACCTTCTGCTAAATAGCAATTAACAGCAGCAGAATCCGCCCTCTGCAGCTACTGACACTGTCAGCATTTACGGGCTTCGTAAACCTCTCGCATCAGGAGAACAGAAAGACCAGATTTCTCCAAGTGATGCAAAGCTGAGGAGCTCCTCAGGAGCCTGGGGCTGTCTCCACTGACTCCTTCCACCACAACCCTCTGGAGGAGATGCTGGTGGAATCCCATCCCCACGGAGCTGTACAAAACCTGAGAAATACTCTTCTTTCCTGGGCGAGGGGCAGTGGGTGCAGAGAAGACCAAGCCAGATATGTGGCTGTGGACCTGTGATGCACGAACTACACCCAAGTTTCCACAAAATTTCAATTAAAAAAAGAAAAAAAAAAAAAAGGCAATTTCAATCAAATCAGTTCATTTGGGCTCCCCCTCAGCTCTGCAGGACTCTACACGGCAGAGACACCGCGGGGCCAAAGCCGCTCCTGCGGGAGGGAGTTCAGGGGAGGTGAAGCCGATCATGGGGGCGGCGGGCAGATGGGCCGGGATTACCGGGATCACCGCCCAGCGCACCGCGGGGCCACAGGGAAGAGGCACGGCAAAGCCGACATTTTTATAACCGCGGATCCCCGGCCAGGCGAGGGCAGGAAGCAAAAGGGTTTAATTTCAGCAGAAAAGGGCTCCCAAGCTCCGCTCGGCCGAGCTCCCCCCCACCCCGGCTGTGGGCCGCGCCGCCTCACCCGCCCCCGCCACCCCGGGGAGCCCCGCTTCGCCTCGGGGAAGGGGGTCAGCCCGGCCCCAGCGGCCATCCCCGGCCCTCCCGCCCCGCCGGACGCCGACCCGGTCCCGCCTCACCGGACCCCGGCCCCGCCGCCGCCGCCTCAGCCGCTCCGCCGCTTTCCGGGGCCGCCCCTGCCGGCGCGGGGCATGGCGGGAAGGAGGCGGCCTGAGGGGACGGGGAGGAGACAGCCATGACACCCCCTCCCTCCCCCGCGGGTTGAAGGCAAAGAGTCATTTTAAGGTGGACAAATAATTTTTATTCGTGCATGCAAATACATGTCAATACTGCAAACTTCTTCCATCAAAGTCTCTCAAACACCGAAAACCAGGATGCTCTATCCGTGACCAGCCGCAGCCCCACAGCTCCTGAGGCGGCCGGGCCCTACCTCTACCACCACGGGAAACAGACCGTCGGGACTCCAAACCCAGATAAACGGAATAGAATTTAAACTTCCCCCCCGCCCCCCCAAATATATCCCCATTTCATTTTACAGATTTTTTTTTTATTTTATTTTTTTTTAAATTATAGTTTTAAATAGAAGCTGAGAATGCGCCATAAAAATGAGCATTAAATCCATCGTAGCGATGGTGCCTGCTTTATACATGATGGGTGTACACCATCTTTTATTTCATTTACATTTCAATCGAACAATAGATTTGCAAAGAAAATGTCTAATACAGACGTAAAAATATTCACACTAGAGCTTCACAATCGGTTGTACAATTGACAAACAGGCCTCTTTTCCCAAACTTTCCAGCTAAGCAAATTTATAAAAATGTAATCAATGCAACAAGAAAAAAAAAACCACAACAAAAAAAATTTTTTTTCTTTAAAACTTCCAGGGAAAAGAATACGCAGTAAACAGTATAAATGCGGACAGCAGATGCTGCAAGCTAACCACGATACTTCTGAGTGGCTGTACAGTGGGTATGTGCAGTACAAACAAAAGCCACGTGTGTTGTATCACAACTACCGTAAAATGTACTTGTTTGCCCAGCTAAGAAAATGCATGCATTTCCATGCCTTGGATTAACTGAGATCTACTCTGGATAAATCGATGGGCTATGTGCAAATGACCTTGGCTTTCGGCAGTATTATTACAGCCAGGCTCTGTTTTATTTCAGCTTTTACAGCAAAATCTTGAGTGATTAAGAGCTTCCACAAGAGTCCTTCTAAAATAACGGGGTGTAGCATTACATTTGGTTATTGGTCATTTCGATTATTCAGATTTGTTTCATCACTGACAGTTGTTTTGTTTTTTTCCCTTGTCGTGCTCCCTCGCCAGCAAAGAGATACACGGCCATGACTACTGCCAAAGTCAGCTCTTCATTTATACTGGAAAATGGGTCATTTAAAAAAAAGCACATTTATTGTGTTCTGCTTGCAGAAGAGGTCCCTCAATGAGAGGGAATTTCCTAGCAAAGGGATTAAACTACAACATAAAGAATGGACTTTTACATACTATAGATAATCTGATCATTTCTCATTTTGTTACACTCTCAAATTCAACATCTTCCTTCAGTAACATTCTAATAATAATGAAAAGTCTGTTCACAAATATGATCAAGGAGCTGCTGGTATACAGTGTTTATGTACAGCAACAGGTACAACTTGACAACTTGTGCTTTAAAAAAGCAAACAAAAACAATGTTTGGAACTATTCTGAGTTTAGATCAGGTTATTTTAAGCGTTCTTTCCTCAGCTGTTTCTGACCACTGTGCATTATTTTGTACCTCATCCAGCCTAGCACACTATGATACAAGAACAGCATTCAGCTCTTGAGTACAGGATAAATTAAAATTTCAATTGTGTTATCAAAGCACTAAAAACCTTCCAAATTAGACTTCTACAAAGAGCAATTAAGAGCTTATTTAATTTAATCAGCCGTGTACAACTTTTTTTTTTTTCTAAATCAAGTCAAACTTTAGTGTCCCTGTACTAGACTACCAAGAACCAGCGCCAGTTTGCTTTGCAAAGAGCCTAACCTTTCCTTTGAAGGGTCTAGTATACATTCTACAATGCAAAATCTGCATAAACACTAAGATTCATTTCTTGTCACCTGTTTACAGGAACAAAGTATCAGTAGCAGGGCAATCACTCTGCTAGCAGTATATGTCAAGAATGTACAGATAATTCCTTTCTCACCCAAGCACTCTCCCAGCACAAGCATTAGTCTCTATTAAGACCTATCTGGGAAATGAGGCAAACCAAGGAATGAATCCAGGTAGTGAGGCAACACAATTAACTTAGATACTAATAATTCCTGTATCTCTTGCATGTGAAATCCCTGCTGTACCCCTGGGGGGGGGGGACAAAAAAAAAAAAACAAACAAAACAAAACCAAAAAAACCCAAAAACACCAAACCAAAACAACCCAAAATGCTTGTCCAAGCAAAGCAAGAGAGCCGATCTCTTTCTCCAATCTGCTATGGGCCTTTTTTCTGACAGCACAGGTAAGTTAGGCCAAAACCTAACTGCTACTAACACACAAAGATTAGTCACTCTATCTCATTGTCAGAAAATAAGCCCTTCCATAGCCCAAAGGCACCTGATTAGCAACTAGACAAATGAATACATACTTGTTTGGAGAGGGTCAAGGGCTGAAACTTCACCAAAGGAGGAAGCCAGAACTAGGTTCCCACCCGCAGCTTCTCCTGTCAGGGCACTGGAGGGCATAGTTTCATGGCAAAACCCACACAGTCAGTGTTAAAACCATTAAGACAAAGCTGGCATGCTGTTAAAACCCCCCAACGGGTCTTCTGCCTGTCATTCTATATATTAAAAATTCAACTAAAAAAAAAAAAACCCTAGCCTCTAGTTAAGAACCAACTTTCCATGTGAAGTGTATGGTCATCCTAGAGAACTGCTCTATCCCGGGACCTCCTGCTGCAGAGAAGAGTCTATAGATACTGTTGTTCTTAAATACGCCAACGGGGTTGGCAGGAATATGTTGGGTTTATGTAATTTCACTGGACGAACAGGCAAATGTGTGTAAGCAGCTTATCCCAATCCCCCTCCAGCAGAGCACAACCAAGTTTTTAAAATCGCAATATTAAAATTAAAAAGTTAAGGTAAATACACAATCAATTTATGTAGTATATATTCACCCTCAGATCATGCTGAAGATGTTCTGTGGAGTTCTGGTGCACAGAGGGCTCTTTCCCTGAGGGCAAATAAGGACTTCTCGAACCTTTATATTTTCTCTATTTTTGTAACAAAATAGCAATTTAAAATTTAAAAATCTTTTAAAAAAATTACATCACCTTCAACATGGAAGATCTCACTGTTTAAATATCCATGAAAGAGACATACTTGTTTGCATATCTGTTTTGGAATTACATTGTACAGCAAATAATAGTATCTCAGAAGCATTTCAAAAGTAATATAAATTCATATTTACAGAATGGTCTTGGTATAAAATATACAACAATCATATTTATGTCTAACATTCTAAGTTAAAGTTAACACCGATAGGAAATAAGTTAAGGTGACAAAGGTGGTCTGGTTCTTGAATCCATTCACTTCGAGTTACGAGTGAAGCAAAGCGTGGGTCTAACCCCAGCGAGGAGGCGGCACTGGCCATGGGGAGGTACAGCTACAGCCACAGGGAACTACCAGAAGACTACAGGGACCAGGTTTCTACATACATTCCTTTACAGTTGAGTATTAAATAGATGTGTAAGATCTTCCATACTGACACCAGAATATCAAAACTAACCCTTGGATTTTTTTCAGGTATATTTACAACATAATTATTTCATGGACAGGTTTTGTTAGGAGAGATATCAAACACCAATATTTACTTAGTCTAATCAGTAACCCTCAGGGAAATGCCAACCCCCACCCCCCAGAAGCGTGCACAAAACAGTTATCAAAATCTTACCCGACCACATAGCTGTGATTTTGTAAAATAACAACTCAGACGACCAGTAACATGATCCTCTTTAAGCATTTTGCTAGCAGGAAAAGCCCTTACATGCAGTACACCTGGTGAAAGATCAGCTTGGCTTAAAATATTCCAGTACAATTTTCAGAGTAAACAACTTCACAGAAGTTAATAAAAACATAAAAAAAAAATATGTAAAACTTGTCACAAAGAAAAGTAAGAGGACAAACAAGAAGATAGTAATCATCAGGAGGGAGAGTCCTGCCTTCTTTAAAAATAAAAAAAAAGTGGATTTTTAAGCTTCTCAAAAAAATATGCCCAGGGCTCTAGTTCATGATTATTTATGAAAACCAATTTTCAGTTGACATGTCTAACATGATTCTCAGTCACATCTTAACAGGGCATAGATTCATACACTTTTCAGTACTCTGAAGGTCAGATAATGCTATATTATTGTATTTTCAAGGTCTTTGAAAATAAGTTGCCACTGAACAAGCAAAAATTAAACCTGAATACAAAATTATGATTAACAACATTTAACAAAGGTAATAGAACCGCCTTAAATTCCCAATATTTAGATTAAATTAAAAACAAAACAGTACAAAAAACAGCAATACCATCTTGTTAGTCAGTGCAAACACTACATACAGGGTTTTCAAAGAAAAGCCAAGAGCACCTGATACTTTTTGCCAAGTCATCTGGATTCTATAAACTCCAAGTTGAGAACTATTAATAAAAAAAAAAAAGGAAAGAAAAAAACCAAACCCAAACCCCAAAATTGCTGTTACATTAGTGCATAACCTCTCAAAAATGGTTGAAAATTGTTTCATGTATAACTAGGGGAAATCAATACCTAGTACGTTCGCTGGAGGACTTAGGCACTTGGTTTACTTCTGGTAACTTTACTTGGACAAGTAGCCTGTGTGTGTGTCTGTATCTACAGCACTAAAGCAGAAATTGGCAGGGGGAAGAAACCAGAAACAAAAAGCTGCAGCAAAGCACTGCACCACAGACCTGCAAATAACGCAGCAGTGCAAAGCTAATGGTGTGTTAACCCTGTAAAAGTCTCAAGTCCAAATCTCCACCTCTCAGTCTTCAAACAGGAAACAATACTCCATGCAAAGTTCCACAACTAAAGGAAAAGCAGCTGCAACAAGACACAAGTTCTTCTCTCATGAAACAAAATAGAGACAAATAAGTTAGTCTTCCTTTCACTAGATGTATCATCGTAGGATCCTGCTAGTTTAAATAACTGAGTTGTTAGTTTTCTACAGAAGCCATTTTAAACAAGAATGGCTCAGATACCGCACCGGATTGCTACAAACTCATAAAAAGCTGCTTTAAGCTTAAGTAAAACAATGTCCAAATTCCATTCATTTGTGGAAAGTGAACGCCTTACCCTAGTAAAGTAAGTTTTTTTTTTTTTCTTCAGAATGCTAATGCGAGAGGGGCTTGAAGTATCAAAGAGTCCACAGGAAATGCATGACCCCAATATTATTTTTTTTAAAAAAAATATACATTATATAATATATATTATATATATAAAAAGCTAGTGTAAATGCTTCCATGGTGTGGTCACAAGCTGGAAAGATGAATGCCTTTCAGCTGTTAACCATCCTGCCATTTGCAACAGGCTTTAAAAAGTCATTTTTATCCTCAGACATAATGTGAGCAGTTTTCAAACTGCGGCTGCCAGCACTGCCTGCTGTGCGGAGGGGCAGGCAGCTTGCATTGCTAACAGATGTTGGGATCGGCTGACTGAAGCAAGAAGTTACGGGCAGGATTGTTTTCTGCTCCTCCCTGAGGAGAAAAATAAGTTACACAAATATTAAACAAGTACATGCACAAGTATCCGGAACTGAATTTGTGTGCATTAAATAAATACTGACATAAACTCATTTTTAGCAACAGGCTAAACATCTTACTATGGAACGGTACGCTCAAGGTGTTAAATGCAGTCTGCCTCATTTTCAAAGGCTGCATTACACATTAAAGACTACAGAACATATAAACCTAAAATAGTGTATTTTAAAAACTACCTCTCTATGGAGATTTGTGCAAACAGTATGACATTTAACCTTTTGAAGTTTTTCTTAATTTCTGTTAGCTATAAAAATACTTTTGCATTTTTTGCTTACTGAATGTGAAAGGTATTTTTAACAGCTGTGACACATTTCAGTAGATATGATTACAACAATGCATACGAACAATGGTACCATCCTGTGACTTTCGTGTTTGTGACCTAATTCTATTTCTTAACAGGTTCTTCTCACTTCACCATGTGTACACAATGCAGATGTCTAATCCGAGTCTGAGTGGGTACGTCGTTCATCCTTAAACAATCATGCTTCAACTATTCTGATGCTGCTGTTTGTCTAATACTGGCAGACACTGCTGGTTTGTCTAACACTCACAGAATCACAAGGTCTTCACCTAAACTTTGTCTCTTCTGTTCCAGAGATTCTTTCTGGTGCTGCTTTAGTGGGTGCCCGTTCTCTACAGTTGTTCCATTGAGCAGCTGATCATCTTGAGAACTAATCCCTAGCTGTATATCCAGAATCTCCTACAGGAGAGAAAGAGAGATCTCCATCAATACTATCGCTACCAGCTTCAAATTTTCCTGTTATGTTCTACTACATAAAGCTGATGGAAATGGCAGCCTTATCGTAAGACTCCTTATTTTTATTTCATACTACTGGAATGTTTACCACATTTTACTACAGGGAAAAGGAAGTAGTATAAACATCAGTTGCTAAGAAATGGTTTAATCGGGTGAGATATGAAGGAAGCAATGAAGACAGTGAGAGCTGTTTCAGTAACTAGGGGTAGAGGAAAGGCTGAAGATAAAGGTCCTCTCATTCATGTAACGGTGATTCACAATTCACACTACGGTGCTGCATCACGTACCACTGGCAGAGCCAAAGAAAGCTGCAGCCAGTACTGTGAGCCACTACTGCAATGGAATATGTGCCATATAAGAACCTTAATTTCTTTTAAGTGTACAATACTTTAACAAAAAAAAAATGGACAATTGATTCTAATGCTCGGAATGAACCCCAGAATGTTTTGTGACTGCACAGCAAAGGAGGAGGTAGCAAAGGAGGAGGTAGCACAGAAGCAGCTGGGGTAGATGCCCAGAATTACAAACAAACAATAAAGTAGTAGTGGAAACAAAAGAACACCAGGTTCCAATCATTTAAGTGATTTTACTATTAGAATCAGGTGAGCACAAGGTTTAAATTAAATGATCACATTTAAATGTAAACTTCAATGTAAAACGTTCTTAACTACAGTTTCAACAGTGGAGGGGAAGGAGCGGACTCCCCATCATCACTGATATTATCAAAAGATAAAGAGCAAAAAGCTGGGAGCTATGACAAAGAACAGCAAGCTGGTTTTAACTTCAGTAATATCAACCCCCAGGTACCTGGACGAGAAGTACGAGACCCCTAGTGTTAAAATCAGGCAAATGTTTGACATCACTACAAAGACTAAAACCAAAAGGCTTTGCTATCGACATAATTTCCTAATTCATAAAGAAATTGTAGAAGTTTTTTAATAACTAATGAAAACACCCAGTGACCTCTTTAGACACACAGATTTTTGTACTTACTTCTATTTGTTCACCTTGCCCATCAGGTTCATCTGTGTCAAGGGCTGACAGCTCCAATTCAATGTCTCGGTCTGGCTTTGTGTCTGCACAGTCTTCAGTGTAATCAGTCTAAAAAAGAATTAGTATCTTCTGTAAATATCAAGTTGGCTCTTCACCTACTTCACACAACTCAAGTATTAAAGTGAAGACAGAAGATGCATTTCTAGGACGCAGTATTTGTACAATACAAAATAGTTAGTTAGCCACAAATAGAACTTTGGGCACAGAGAACATAGGACACAAAGCTAAATCTAACCACATTAAAGTACTGAAACAGGGAGAAAGAATGAATACCGAGGTGCAAATTTTGAGTCCATTGGCAGAATGTTCAGATTTATAACACATACAAGTAGAATGAGAACTAATGATTGCATGGAAATGGATTGTCACATTCTTCCGATTTCGTAAACGTGTGACTGGAGCAGCAGCACAGCAGGTGCCCCTGCTTCATTGCAGAGACAGAACTGGGTGCAACAACAACAGTGCCTTAACTAACACAAATCACATTATAAATATTTGGAAATGTTAAAACTAAGAGTTTTAACTCTGTTAAAAAGCATGCACTTCGGTATATACAAAAGCCCTCAGATTTGTTTCATCCCAATTACCCCTTTCTTTACCTCACCATTCCTCAAATCAATTTCCTTGCTTAAAAGATTTAAGGTAAGACGACTGCCTTCATCTAGAGAATTCCACTTCTGTTGCATGGCTAGTGCATTTGCCTCTCTCTGAAGTAATAACGAGTTACTTTTGGCCTATGGAAAGAAACATACCAGTTACCAACAACTACCAACTTAAACCATGTGTTGTCAAATGGCAAAATAAACCAACTTTCAAAAAGAACAATTCTTTTGCTAGATGGATAACTATGTATTCCTTTATTGCACAGCATTTATTTTGTTCTGCATTTGCTGACGTGTCAGGCCCACCACTTTCTCCCAAAAATGGCCTTACTGATGTCAATGGAACAGCTCATATTAGCAGTCCTTCTGCATTACACCAAGTGCTGCAGTACTAGTGTCTAGTTAACCCTTATGAATCATTTTGTCAATTGTAGTATTTTCTGTAGGTTACATTAAGAAAATTTATTTTAAAATCAGTTTACTAAATCCCCCTCCTTTTTAAATAAATTAAAAAACCCACATAGTATAATATCTGATCTTACCTGCTGTAACTCAATACTCAGTAGATCTCCAGTGCTGGAATGCTTTCTGTGACCAGACAAATCTGTAACTATGAACCTGTCCCTTTAAAAAGAATGAAGGCAAAACTAGGAATTAAGTTCTCTAAATCAAAGACCCCATAAACTTCATTAGTTTATCAACGTTAGATTTCTGCACAGAAATTATGTGACTAAGATAACGCACTCTTCATCTTCCTTGGGGCTCACAATACCCCAAGGCATTATGTGAAGCACCTTTATTTTACAAATGGATAAGATGTAGCAAGAATACTTGAGAGAAACTCCTCAAGATGGCAGAGTCTGACATGACAGCTTGGCAGTACTGACTCCAATTCTTTGATTGGTTCTCTCAAGGAATAGTTGCTAGTCATTTGGTATTATTAGCTGCATTAAGCATTAAAGACTACACAAGTTTTAATGTAGTTTTTCCAAGGTTTTATGCTGGATAGGAAAAAATATTTTGCTTTAAAATTAAGAACCTCTATTAATAGTTCCAGATTTTTTTCCCCCCACATGCAGGCTTTTGAAGAACAGCAAGCTACAGAAAACATTTTTAAGAGAACATAAAAAAACCCCTCCATACCGTTCTGCATAACGTGCTGATGAAGTAGAATCCGAGCCATAGGCACTCCATCTTGAGTCAACAGCATTGACATAAGGGACATAATCTGAAACAAATGAAGATACCGTTCATTATCTTCTCTGTTCTGAAGGTGGGGTATTCAGGAGTGTTAGCACTACAGCAATGAAGATGCAAAGAAAGCATGAAGAGGGTAAAACGTTTGCAATGTACGACGCTACAAGGTGGCAGGAAGGCTGTCCTTGTACCTGATACACTGATGGGCTTCGTAGCACTTCCTTGGGAAGCAGTGGCCTGAATGGGGTCTGTCGTGTGATACCCCGTGCGGGATGACCTGGAGATCGCACCCCACTTGGAGATAATCGGTCCGTCGCTGAACGGGATTATGGGATCTTCTTCCTTTGCCCTTCTCTGGGTTTCAAATAAATGCACTCTCCTTTTAACATCTCCGCTGTCCAAATCCTACACAGTTAGGAGACAGAAAAAAATGGACTCATTCGAAGTTATTCAGATTCTTCAGTTGCTAATAACTTTCTGATTATTGTTGCTGAATACAATGCTGAAAATCTGTCCAAATAGAGAGCCAAGATGGGCCTCAACAATTTAACTATTGCCCTTTAATGGCAAACTGACCACAAGAAAGCTATTGCCAGTGTTAGAAATAATAATTTTGCTTTTCCAAGCTTGTGTTTCCTGGTACAAAAAGTTCCAGCATGCTTCAAGGTCCTTCAGTACCCTTTCCTCTACTTGAAGGAGGCAGTACCAGGCTCAGGATGAGATTTGGTTACACTTGTTTCATAGAACATAAAAGTAACCTGCTGCCCCGTACAGTAGGAAGTCTCCAAAAAGCATGAGCTTTTACCCCTCTAATAATCAGAGGACATACTTAAAATTCACGAGTTCTTATCAGTTTATAGACCGTCTACTCAAAATATTTTGGCTACAAGTTTGTTATTAACATAGTTGTTTCAGACAGAATTTTACTCATGGCACTACATTCTGTCACTGAAGTAAACAAATCATTTACAAAACCAGGAAAAGATATTCCAAACAACTTCAAATATGTAGAGTGACTTTAAAATACTAAGAATAGAAGCTATCAACTTTGAAAAAAAAAAAAAGGCTTGTTTAACCAAACAGAAGACACTTCAGCATGTAAGTATCATTACACTAATGAGATAACATGCAGAAAACCCCTACCATTAACACGGCGTTTGAATTGGCAATCACATCCTTGGGCTCCGAGTCGATAGCGTTTATACAAGAGCCAATAGTGCCACAAGACCACGGTGAATAGTGAGAGAGATGGTCTTCCTCAAATTTAGTTCCACTCAGATCACTGACACTCTCCGAGAACTACAGAAAAGGGAATAAATAAGCAGTGAATAATAAAAACAGGGAATTCAGTCTAAAATAAAAGAAGACACTTATTGCTATTTAATTCAATTATCTCAAAAGTCAATCAAGGAGTTCTAGCCATATTCAAGACTTAACTCAGGGTCAACATAACCCATTCTGTCAAATTTTAAATCACTGCAGCTGACAGTAACTAACTGCCTGGTCTGCCAAGATGAGGCTGAAACCAGTGTCACTATGTTCGCCACAGGTTTCTTCAGGCAAATAGCTACAGGGATTAAACTGAGAGAAAGCCATGCATTTTCCTTTGATGTATAAGTCAGTGGCAGAATGAAGTATGACTTGGAACCCTCCAACCTGAATGAAGAGGACTAAATCCTGATCTACTTTGAAGGCATCCATAAGGGACTTCAAGTACCTAACAAGACCTTTTCTGAATCCTCTCAGTCTAACACCTCAGATATCATCAATGGACCCGTCAAACCACAGCCGAGTGCGCTTGGCAAGGTGGGTCTCACACTAGTTTCTTAGATGCATTTGATTTACACATATGGAAAACAAATATTACAAGGTACTTTCTTCTACAAAAGCACACTATTTCTATTTGTAGAGTTTCCATTCTTGTTTACAGAACTGATCACATACATGCCCAATGTTCTCCCAATGCCTTTTGCCACTTTTAAGGGATAGATATTTTCTGGGACAAGTGTTTGCAGTCATGATGCCATTTGGAGTACAAAAGGGAAAGTCCTTCTTAATGGAAAAGAACTGTTGTTTCCTACACAAAGACGTGGAAGTTCACAAAGCTACTTCAATAAAATTACATTTTCTTTAGCGAGGGTAAGTTGAATCACTTCACTTGTTGACCTGTTTTCAGCAATCATGGTTAGCATTAATACCAAATCCAATGTGTTCACTATTAGGTATTACTTTCCTTTTGCTAGAAGATTAAAATAATTTTATGAACAATAAAGAATTTCTGCCTGCCATTGACTAGAAATATTAAAAGGCACCTCATGGAAACATGAAGGGAAAATAAAGAAGTTCTCTGGCTTCCCACCTCTGTGCTGAAATCTACGCTGAAGAGAGGAGAAGGTGGTGTTGGAGACGGTGTTGCCATTGGAAGCGTTGACGATACCAGAGGAGTTTTCTGTGTGTGATACTGTGCCCATTGCTCCGGCTTCCGTCTTAACTGCTCCTCATAACCAGTCTTCAAATGACCGCAAGGCTCCTAGCAATAATAAACACAGCACTGTATATCCTATCACACTCTAATCAGAGGCAAATACTTGCAGGAGACACACTTGGAGCCTCAAATTCCCTTGGGTATGTAACCCTCCACTGGTATCACTAGAAGAATTTCACAAGGATCTGGAGGAGAACGTGGCCTATATATAGCAACTCAAACCTTATTTATGTAATTAATTCAAGCAACAAGCACATCAATTAGAGAGGGAAAGGGATTCTGCTCCTAATGCAGATATGAGCAGTCTATTATACAAGCCATTTTATTAAGGTTAAAACACTACAAGAACTTTGTCCAGGTCACATGTCTTGTAATCCCAAATAAACAGAAGTCTATGCTAATTATTTACCAACTTTTCAGTAATGACCTTCAGAACCAAGACTACATCCTTCCCTTTCTGGCTCTCACTTACCCTCGGTAAAGGCACAGTCCTCTGTTCGTTTGGAGGTTGACAAGCCACAGAGTAGTAGCCATCCAAAGAGTTGTATCTCTCACGTAACGATGTCTGATAGACAGATGAGTGCATCACATCCATGGGAGGTAAAGAATTGCTCCTAATAATATCATCTCGTGGGTACATCTGTGGGCGCCAGATGCGCCTGCTGTCATAAACTGGAGCATACATTCCAGAAGGGACAGGAGGAACTGGTCCATACGGCTGCGGAGGAGGAGGTTGGTAAGGAGAATTCAGTCGATCTCGAGGGGGAAATGTACTGTAATGATCGGCATATGGCACGGAAGCAGGTGGGAGGGAGGACTCTGGAACGTTATTGGACCTCACAAAGCGAGGAACACAGGGAGCCACACCAGCTGGTACTGTTGGAGGTGGTGGATAATATCCTTAAAAATTGGAAAAAGGCATATTTAATGTAACCACAAATGACCCAGAATTTTACACGTTCTAAAACTGTAAATAGTGCTGCTAAGTACCTTTAGAGAACGAAGAGTCACACTTTGCAAACCTGTTTCTGACCCTATCGTATTTCTGTGGAATATAATTTCATGTACAACAACCATATTTGCAGATGTAGTGCTGACCCTTTACTACCTCGATGCAATTCAGAAAATGGAGTTTCTCTGCCATTGCCCCTCTGGTATAACTACATGACTGAGTAACTGAAAAGGCAGCATCTTAAGCACTTCTTTATATAGGAAGTTATAACAGTTGCCTCTAAAATAAAAAGCTGTATTACTAAAAATGTACTTCCAAATGTCCATAAATAACCACTTACACACTTGGCTTATGCTTTTTTCTTTGCAGAGGACACTTCTAGCTTTTGTTTTGAGAGCTTGTGAATCACCTGATGCTCTAACACCTATTTGTTTGCTTGAATATAAACATGCACGCTGCTCATCTCACTCACCTGTCTGTGGGTACTGTGGAACTTCATATGACAGCTGAGTCCTGGGGTCTTGGAAATACTGAACATTATCAGAATGTGGAGGGTAGACGGGTACTCTGGGAACAAATGGGCTGGATTTTGGAGGCACAGAATTAACTTCTGTTCCAATATTAGGAGGACCAGCTGAGGTAGCTGCTGCCTGGCTTACAGGAGTCTTGGGTGGAGAACCAATTTTACTGAAAAGGATTACCAAGAAATCATTAAGCAGATCTTACATATTTCAGTTGGTCATCTCTCTGTGTAAACTCCCATGTAATGTGGACATTTTGGCCATGTCACTTCCTCTGGAATTTTTTTTTCATACCCAATACCAGTAGTCTTATTACATCTCAGACTTATCTCCTAAGAGAACTCAAAAGGACATAAATGTTTTGATACATACTCAGAAGCTTACGTACCACTTGTAAGTGTATTCTGGTAAAGACAAAGGCTTTGAAAAGTTATGTAGAAGCTCAGCGCTTCCTGCAGAAGTATCTAAAAATTTTTTAAGGGAAAACCCCAGAACTAGAAGATTTCCAGGATTATTAAGGGACCACGCACTACACTCGCCCTTCTTTGTTTCAGGAAATGTCAAATTTTGAGTGCAAGATTTTTGTTTTATTTTTATATAATAACCCAACAGTAATTAAGATATCATGCTGAGAACAACACAATAAAAGATAAAGGGAGAGATTTTCTCTATATTGCATGGGAGCATTCAACAGCTAAAATAACCGACACTGGCTCTGACAACTTGAATCCACAGGCTTTGTAAAATGGTCTCTGTTTTACAGAACAAGATCTCACACAACTCTGCAGCCAGTGAGCACCAGCAACAACTGCAAGCCAGGACCAGAATTCAATATCTGGTTTTTGCTATTCATAAACTCCACGATGGTCTAAAAGCAAAATGTTGTGTTTAGTTATCTTTATGAAAAGAGTTACCTACTTTTCAGGTAGTGATTCTGTAGGGGATCCAGAAACATTCTGGCCATTGGCTCCAGTCTTCCCACCCTTCTTGGTGTTGTCCAACGCTCTCAAGGAGGTGTCAGCACAGCGAGGGATCAGCTGGGGAACACCACTTTCCAGATTAGCTATTCCATTAGTACTTGGCACCATCTTCCCGGTCGCTTCGGGGCTTCCTATGACAGAAATGACGTTTCCTGTTGTGGTTGAGACGGTGCTATTTACGCCAACTTTATTTAGAAGGGGGAATGTTCTCACTGTTGCACTGATTTTTTTGTTCCTCAAGCGATATCTAAAAACAAACATGTACAAACACACACAAAAGACAGACGATTTTAAAAGTGCTTATTGTGAAGTTTAATGTATCTGCAAAACTAGCAAAAGGCAGGCGTTGAGAGTAACACTATATCCAAAAATTACAGGTCTTTAAAAACTGTTTTCAAAATTCTATGGAGATTGCTTGGATTTAAATTAAAAAGAAAAAATAAGTCTCCCACACTCACTTTTCAAGCTCTTCCTGAGAATGAGCAAATGTACAGTTTGTTCCTCTTGGACATCCCCCTTGCTGTCGAAGGTCTCGGCACATACTTGTTTTGTATTTGCTATTTGGTTGTGGCTTTAACAAACAGAAAAAAATCCTCTTACAAACATTTACATAAAAATAGGCTTTCAATACACAAAACACATCCATGATATGTTTTTTTATATTGCACCTTTAATTAGAAAATTAAGGAAACTTCGCCTTGCTGGGCTAAGTACTATGCCATCGTAGGGATCTCACTACAGCAAGCTCTGCTGCATCCCACATTCAGAAATGTTCAGTTCTCAAAACCTGAACACAGTAAGTAACAGTATCATCAATTATTCCACAGAAAAGGCCATAAATATCTCCAATCAATAGTAATTTTTCAAAGTTGCATCTTTCAGTAACTGTACATTAAGACATACAATGCAACGAGTGAATATAGTTACCTGTGGAGTTTCATGGCCTTTTCTACTGTAGTTCTGAATGAAATCCACCAGCCCGTGTACCACAGTCTTTACAGCGACCATTGCATTTTCCAGCTGCTCCCATGTTGGAGATGCTGCATCTAAAATTATTAAAAGCAGGTTTGTCACTCTGTCAGGAACTCCAATAGTATCATAAAAAAAGAGACAACTCTTCTAGTACTTCAAAACACCAAGTACTAAGACAGAACTCAGAGAGCCCTGAAGAAGCGTTTATGACATAATATATTAATTAATGGGAATTCTGAAACCGAGAATGGAGGTTGTCATCTTAATCATTTTCTTTGCTAGACATAAAGAATATTAAAAAATATTTTAAGAGTTTCATTTGCATACCTGGATTTGGATCTATGTTTGCCAGAAGCTCCAAGTGAGGCCTCAGCCTGTTTAAGTTTGCAGGATCCCCCGTGCGCTGCAAGACAATTGTCAACTCTTGTACGCTCTTGGCAAAAGATTCGGGAGATTGGAGCTGAAAGCAAAGTGAGAGTTAGTGTGCTGCATCTTACAACTGTCAACTACTCATCTTAAAAGATTTTCATTACATTGGTTCCTAAACATATATGTTGTGTCTTCAGATGGCATATAGAGAGTATCAGTGGAGAGAAATTTTATTTCTCAGCTCAGAATCTGCCCTATGAAGCTTCATCATAAGACACAAGAAAGGGAATTAATCTCAAGCTACTGAAAACCAAAATGTCTTCATATGAAGAATACACTGCAGTGGGGCAAAAAAACCCTTCATTCTAGTTTTAATTAATATTTCATATGACTAAAGACAAAAAGTTAACTCAAGCAGTTCTTGGATTTTTATTATAATATTTAATAGTCAAATCTAATGCTACAAAGATATTAAAATCATGCATTTGACGAACCTTGTCAATAATGGATTGCATGTGTGATTTATGGGCCAAGTCACCATAAAGAAGGGAAGACCATTGCTCTGGTGATATTCGAAGTCCTGCTTCCATGGCAATGTGAACAATTTGGGCATCATGTTCTCTCCGCAAAGCCTCGTAACTCCGAAACTCCTCTTTAAGTTGCATCAGAGAAGAATCTTCATCCCTTTTAGTGACCTAATAAACATCAATAGTTAAACACTCATCCTTTAACAAAAAAAATCTCCAAGTCCATCAGAAAAAAAGACAGTTACATAGTACAAAATACAAAAGTATTGTTTTTGCATATTCAGCTTATATATGTTTTACGCAGCGGTGCCCAGGCAGAAACACCAGTTCCTCAAGTGTTTACAGGATCACAAGTGCAAAACCATACCATGTAAAAGAATCAGGTTTGCTTAAGTTAGATATTTAGTAATTCTACTAGTAGTTTTTGTTACTAAAGGATGACTTAAAGAAACAGGAAAGTATCTAGAAGTGACTTAAATAATAAGAAGGAAGAAAAAGGTTAAGATATTGAAATTTAAAGACCAGAATATTTAACTGAGAGCCCACTATAAACGTTAAGTCTCTGGAGCTGCACTGGTTTGCAGGAACTAACTTCAAATATTGGTATTTTACCTTAAAGCATGATGCTCTATACAGTAGCTGCACAACGTGACCAATGCTCGTTTTAGAGGCCTGAGGAAATCTTGGTTCTAGCCTTTGCACAACAAAAAGTACCAGAACTTTTCTTGAGAGTGCAGAGCCGTCTTCCAGTGCCAGTAATACGAGTTTCAGTGCCTCCTCTTGCATAGCTTTAACATACAAAAATAAAAGATAGGAAATGAAATATAGTGCCAGGAAAGAGGCTATTTTCTTCCCTTCTTTCTTTGTGGCAAAAAGTTGAAAACCAGAAGTACTTACATCTTCAACAGAACAGAAAAAACTTCCCAAGAATGTTTTATTAAGAAGAGGTACAGCTACATAAAGGTCCAGCTGCTGCAGGTTCTACAGGTTCCTTACCTGGTCCTAGAAACTGGCATCCTCGTGCCCTGACAGCAGCCCAAAGATTGGCAGAAAGCTGCTGAGGATTCTGGTGCTGCAGGATCAGTTCTGTCACAGTTCTCTCTCCCAGAGATCGAGCTGCCCTCATCGCTCTAACCCGACCCTCTTCCTCCACCAGCTGACAGTTCACCAGGGTCACAAGCTTCCTTTGCATCGGACGGCTCAGTGCACTCTGATTCAAGCTTGCAACACCTACAAAGAAAGAGAGAATAGGCAAACGATTGCTTCTAATCAGGCAAATTCAGCTGAATAAGACAAAAAAAAGGTTTAATAGGATGTGTCTTTCTCTAGGACCTGGATGCTGGTCAGGGGCACCTTCCCTTCTCTTAGGCAACTCTGTGGAATTCATTATCAAAAAGAATTTTAATAAGTTGACATCATACCCATCATTTGAGGAAAGTTCAGCTTTAGTACAAAGTTAGCCCCAAGGAAATAATATTATATAAAAAAGAATATTTTGCAAACTTAAAATTTAAAAAAAAAAATCAAGTGTCACAGGTGTGAATAAGCTTTTAAAGACGTAAGGTAAAATTTATTACAAAAATGAGAGGGTTATCCCATTGACATCTAAAATCAGTGCCGAAAGCACAATGCTGTTAGAAGTAAGCGATATCAAAATTCCATTGTTCAGCAGAGACTCACCTTTTCCTCCACTTAATGGCTTTAAGTAGAGTGCCAAATCCTCAACACATTTCTTTGCTACTTCATAATGTTTGTTCTCCCCTACATTACTCAACTTTACTGTCTGATGATCAGGTACCTACAAAAATGCAAGGGGGAAGAGGGAGAGAAGAATTATATGTATCTGGCCGACCTACCCGACACGCCCAGGATGGTACCACCACCACCACCGCTGCCATAACGCTGCAGATGTACACTGCTTTTTAGAGAAGTGACAGACAGGACCCACCCAAGGTATGCAGAATGTAACAAGGAGTACAGAAAGGACTCAAGATGAGGTCAGGGTGATGAAATGTTATTTTTGTTAGTACTCAACACATTATGAACAAAAGTAGGATAAAAAACATTAACCAAAGTCTAATAAGAAGGTACTTAAAAGATGAATGAATAACACAGGAATTGCGAGGATGTTCAGTGTACAAGATCTGCATTATTTACTGCACAAAGACAAGGGAAGTTACAAGACAAAATTAACTGGCAAGAAAGTAATGTTAAAAAAATCAAAACCAAAGTTAAAAAATAATTTAAGCATAATTTGGGCATGCCGAAATCTTCAAAGAGAAGAATGAGCAAACTTAACTTGGTAGAAAAAAACTCAAAGTAGAGTAACAAGGTCAGACAATGAAAATAGAGGGAGTGTTAGTCAATACATTAAATTGTTTGAGAGACATTGCAAGAACTCAGGAGACTGGGAAAACGAATGTTGTAAGATCAAGGCAGTGATTTGACACACACTTAGAAATCAAGGAAATAAATGAAAGGAACATGTGAACTTGAGAAACAAAGCCACTTTGACATTGATAGCGTTGTTACCAATAGCTGTGTCAAGGCATGTGATAAGACATTTATAAAGCAAATTAAAAAGCATCTTCTTACTGCATCACCCAGGTGTTACAGCCAGAGTAATATGAAAAAGCATATGAATCAGCATAAGGTGAACAGACTGATTTAGTCTCCGTAAAGCGCAGCACTGATTATATAATCGCTGTTTTGCCACGGCTACGAGACAGCACCGGGAACATTCCTGGCCTGATTAGCCACTGTCTGAAAATGCAGTGCAAAAGCCATCATCATGCATATTTAAAAAATAAAAAATAAAAAAAAATATACAGGCACACTTCTGAAACTTGGTTAAACAGCTAGCTACTGCTGAGCGTGTGACATGTAGAAATGAGATTGCTTGCAAGAGCACGATGAACAAGTGCAATCTGCAGGTTCACTTTTCTAATGACAATTGTGACAGATAATTGTCCATTTCCTAATGGATATTTTTCTCCAGTCACAGTTCAAGAGCCTTTTTAAACTAGATTCAGCTTACAACTACAATATGTTATCATTTTATAAGAAAAGGATGGTCCTGAAAATGGTGTGGTTGCTTTTAGAGTATGTACAGACTTCTAAATATTACAAAGTTAAAGTCTTACCATTTTTTTTTTTTTAGACTAAAATGAGGGAAAAAGATCAGCACACGTATTGCAACGGGTACGTAAACGGTAATAACATGAAGTGGCAAAACAAAGAGCTGCTTAAATCATACCTGGGCTCCAACTAACTGGAGGAGTGCAAAGTTTACAGGAAGCACATCGATGTCTGTATTGATGGCAGTCTGGTCGAAAGGACATGCCTTGCGATGAAGCTTGTTCAGGCAGGTCTTACAGACAGTGTGAGAGCAACCTAAGCTGATGGGTTTGTGCACATTCTCATCAAACTCGTTGTAGCAGATTGGGCAGGACAGAAATTCTGTCCACTGAGCTGCCTGCACAGGCATTGTGGAAGCCGGACACTTGTTTAGCAGGCTAGCAGACCATTATTTCACTGTACTATGTTTTGGCAGCTGTAAGTGAATAACAGAGTATTTAAAACATGTTTTCTGGTAATTTAGAATGATTTTTAATTAAAGAAAAAAAAACAACAAACCACCATTTCAATATTTTACAGAATAAAACCAAATCCTTATGTTGAAGTAGTCAAAAACCCCAACTTTGTGTTAGTTTATTAATTGTACCAAAAAGGCTCATGAACTGAATTAATGCAGTCTACCATAAGTTGAACCTATTCACAATAAATGGCATTAAAGTTCTTCTCACAGGATTAAATACACCTTTAGCGTAGGAAGAGGAAGACATTTATTGGCACAGAAAGCATAAAGGCATGAATCACAGTAACCATCTCTCACAACATCTCATCTAACCTCAAATTTTCAAAACCCTGAAAGCACTCCCTGGTTGTAGAATGGGCCTGGGGTGGGAAGGAGACACAGAAACTTTTATTTATTTTTTTTTTTGGCCCAGGGAAGTTAAAATGTTATTTCCATTTGAAGTGAAGTAGAACAATGCCTTCCTTCTACAGATCATGTTCAGACACGGAACTAAACACAGCTTTGCCTTTTTTTTTTTTTTAAAAAAAAAAAAAAGAGACACATTTCCTCTTTCTGTAAAAGACAAATCCATTAACAAATCAATTAACAAAAGTTAAGATTCAGAAGAAAACACTACAAGAGAGATTAGTTTTTAGTATTATGATTCTCATATGTTACTCCCTTCTTTTCTCCCAAGAGCCGACCGGGGCAGAGATTGCTGTAGCCAAGTTTGCTTTTCCCATCTCTACCTTACACAACAAGGCAACTCACTTCTAGGAACTCACAAGAGAAAGCACGAAAATCTCCAATGTGTTGAAAATCCAAGTATTTACAACAAAACTTATGACAAGGCAAGCAATAACTTCAACCTGTTTGCTACTAAGCCTTTTCTCTTGAAACACCTCACTCTGCAGTAGCACCATGCGAATCGGTTACATAAATGTATTCCAAAGAAAACACAGATTTACAGAAATTGTTGGGAAAGACATCCCGTCTTATATAAATGCATGTTCTTGAAAAAGACAACAGGCCTAAGAAGTTCATCAAAACTGTTTACGCTCAAGCTTTCCTGAGAAAGAATTAAACCCGCGGTTCCTCTCGCCCCACCCTCCGCCGCAACGTGCCACCGCGGTGACTTTCTGTCCAACCCAGGGACCAGTTGGTTCACTTCAAGGCTGGAACAGGCTTCTCCTCACAGCTCGGGAGAAATGCACATACACAAATGTTTTAATTACATGTTTCACATTCTATTTATTTTTTTTTCCTCTGATGATGGGGGAAAACGGCAATTGTTTTGAGGCGGCTGAGATCTCCCCTCCGCGTCGAATTCGGTAACTCTTTACTGCAATTCCATTGTTGGCTGTGCTACAGTTTAATTAATGCTGAAGTATCAGACCATTGAAATAATTACTAGAACACCAAACAGACTATCGGTGATGTATTTTATGTTAATTATGACCATCTGTTTAGAAATTCTATTTAGTACTATGAATATTCAGTGCCCTTTAAGTAACAGGATACAAGATGTCCTTATCTCAGTGAGCTTTTCAATATTATGCAGCGATTTTTCCCCCAAATGAATTCCCATAGTAAGTGTAAAACCCAACAAACTGAAATGGAACCTGTCCCTTCCAAACCAAACTGCTGAGATAACACTTTCAACGTAAGCCAGAATATTCACATGCATTGGATACAACTGGTTCTCATCGAAGCTCTAGGAAAGCACAATCAAAGCTCTTGCAGCGATGAAAAAAAAAATTGCAGTCCTCTAATCTGCTATTGCTTCCTACATCTTTTAACCAAGGAAATTCAAAAGCAAAACAAATAATAGCGAAACTGAACAATGAGCCAACATGCTTAGAAAGATTTTTAATGCCTTGATAAAGCATCCCACCATTTCCTCAGCACACCTCCTCCAGCTTCCCTACCAAAACAGCGGGACAAGAGATGAACAGAACTGAAAAGCCTCGCACTAAATACTTTCTTTCAAGTTTTTTGCCAGCATTCCCAAGAACATCAAGGTACTAACACCAACAGTGCTGCTGACGCTGGTTTTTCACCTGCACGACACAGGTAAGAGCCCAAACAAGACGATTCTGGGAACGTGCTACTGTCACAGCTCACACAGGGAAAAGTCTAAGAAAAGGCTCATACACACAGAGCTCAGTTGCTAATACCTTGTTGGGCTCTGAGAGCCTCCTAATAAACAGGCTCTATTTCCACACTGCTCATTAATTATCTCAAATGCAGGAATCTGCCCTGAGACAGGACCCACAGTTTCCACAGAGACTTCAGAGACTTGCAAGAATCAGCCACCTCTCTATTTACAAGCTTTTAAAATAAAGTTGTTTGTTTTCCTGACTGGCATAGAAATGAAACACAACAAATTCTTAAAGTGTGCAACACCAGGTTTTAAACATCTCTGGGTGTTTATCATAAATGACAGATTCTACTAAGCATGTGTTGACCTTCAGATTTCTTGACAGGAAAAAAAAAAACTAATTAAATCAGCGAAGAGCTGGGGAAAGCTCTCAACTCCTAAAACTTCAGGCAGCTGTACCCAGAGGAAGTCTCCGCACCGGTAAGCGTGCCAGCCATCCTGCTGCTCCTGCACCCCAGCCTGTTCAGAAAACAACCTTACATCTCCTAATGATCATGTCAACTTCTACAAAAAACATAAGCCGAACGTTTAATAGATTCTTGCTCCTTGTCAGAAACAATGTATTTCAGGGATGTCCTCTTGAAGAGCAAATTGCTGCAGTGCTGTACACCCAGCAAACACGAGGAGGAGAAGGGAATAAAGGCAGCAAAGCAGAGACCAGCTCGGGTTTGGTTTTAGCAGCATTGTTCTCAGCACAGTTACCACACTCCGCCTGCTCACGCCAGCAGACACACTCTCTATCTCCACACATACACCTGGCTTCTCTTCCCTGGCAGAGTACCCTAGCAAAAAATACAGAAACTGGCCAAACATCCAGTGTAAGCAGTGTGAAAAGCCAGGGTAGCTTTTACTAAAAAAGCGTTTACATAGTATCATTACAATAAATTTTATAGTAATACTAGTAGAAGCAATACTGCAGATGACAAACAGAAAAACACAAAAGCCTAAATTCAGAAATTACGTAATAAATAAAAACTATTACAGTTGAGTAATTTTCTATTTCATCCAAACACACACATACAGAGACGGGGCAATTTCAGTCCCTCCCCTTGAAGCTATTCCTTACACATTAAAGGCTTAAATATTCATCAAAGACAACTGCAGCCTAGTCTTCAGCTGCCCGAGCAGACAACTTGGATTTTACTTCATTTTTAAAGATGATTTGTGCATTTTTACTAATCAGTCATTGGATCAAATCTAGGTGTAGTTCTTTGAGGAAGGAACAGAATAATTCAGTGCCTCCTCCCCAGCTACATGCCCTGGTTCCTGGGCAGCACCGCGAGCGTGGGTCTCAGCCCAAGAAAACTTCCTTCTCAAAGCAAAACGGCTTGAACACAAGGCAGGGAGTGACCCCCTCCAAAGACAGGGCATTTACCAAAATGCAAAATATGTGAGTTTCGTCCCTTTTCAAGGCAAGGGTTGAAGGCTTGAAGCCAGCTCCCCCAGAGCCTGGGGAAATGCCCAGGGAAAGGCAGAGCAGCAGCAGCCACGGCTCCCTGGAGCTCCACGCTGGGGCTGTCCAGCCCGGGCCAACTCCCTCGTGGGACACGGGCGAAGGAGAGGGGGAGTCTCAGAGCTTGTACCACAACAGGACACGGAGCAGCTCTCTCAGTGCTGAACAAAGGGAAGTCTTCTCTACAGATGAAGGAAGATCTTGAAAAACTCGTGGGATTATATGGCATTTTCCCAAATTAAACTGGTCTAATTACAATCCCACTGTGGATTTAAGATGAAATCTTAGAATTCGATTGATTTTTAATCACTCAATTAAAGAGTCCTTGATATCGACTGCAGAGACCGTGGTATTTTCTTTTCTTTTTTGAAGTGATCTTCATTATAATTTTCCATTTATGCAGATTAATAATTTTTTTGCACTACAAGGGGGTAGGTTTTTCAAGCTTTCCTTCCTAAATTACGTAGTTCTGAAAGCATTTTTTGACTGGGTCAAAAAACTTAGTGTCCACGTAATCAATGCAGTATTAAATTTGAACATAATCAAAAATATCAGTATTAAATTATTCTCTGAAAGGGATAGAATCTTTTATTCATTTCTCTTCAACAGCCATCATCTACAGATCTAAAAAACTAGCTTCATTAAAGGCTTAGAAAAGGGCCATCCCCATAATAGCTTTGCATCATTGAGCTATGACGGCTTGAAATTAAAATAAATCCTCTTTACAGAGCAGACTTGCTTATTTCTACATTCCGTAATATCTGTCACATGTAAATCTCTTTGTATCACGTGCAAATTCTATATATAAAGCAGAGTCTTTAATGACTATTAAAGACAGTATTTCAATGCAATTTTTTCACTGAACGTTAATGCCACAGGGAGTATTTACAGCCCAATTTAAACTCCAGAAGAGTTATCATCAAGAGAAAACGTGGTGACACACTAGAATATATCTCTCCATCCAGACTATGTCTCCCCAAAACACCTATGGGATGCTTCACTTGCTACCTTCCCAAAAAATTAAAGCTTAGATCCCCTTTCCCTCCCTAAAACGTGGCTAAAGGTGAATTCTCTATGAGCAGTGGTACATTTCACTGACACAAATCTCAGTTGATGGGAGCTCAGTGACAGCCAACGCTCACTCAATTCAGAGGTGAATCCCCCCCAGGTCAGTGTACGCTGGCAGATATCCTCTCACCAGATCTGAAAAGTTTCCTATATACTTATGTAATGCCACCGTGGGGCTTTTTTGTGTTTCGTAGGTGTCACCGAAAGGAGAGTTTGTCCTTGCCACAAGCTTGATACGGATTCAGCTCCTGTAACAGTATTGACTTTTCAGGACTAACTGAAGGGCAAATAAATGAAACATTTTCTTTGCCGCCAAAAGCAGTTGAACTTACACTGAACACAGAGAAACTGAACAGATTTCTAAGCAGATCTATTTCGACACAATCACTTCAAGAACAGAGACACTTAAGAAATCCTTCCTCTTTGATAATATTGTCAGAGAATAAGGACTCTCATGTATGGCTTAGCTCCCTTATGCTTTTTTTTTTTCCTTAAATCAAGTCCATGCTTAAACTATGCATTTTACAAAAAAAAGAAATTCCATATTCTAACATTTTTCAAATAATTTCAATGAAATGCTAATTCCATTCTGCGACATCAGCAAGAAAACAGAGGGTTCCATAGGAGCCAGAAAGCCCTTTCAAAGTTTGTACAGAATAGCTTAACATGGGCTCTTAAGATAGAGATTTTTTTTCCCTTCTGTTGGGATTGTCCAGTGAGGAGACTTCTGTTCATCCCATTGAGGGGTATAAAAAAATCTTACCACACAAAATGTAATGTACACCTAACAAAACAAATCTGAGAAGCCATTACCCTCTCGATACTGTAAGTATTCTGTCTATTATAAATCAACAAAACCTTAAATAAGAGATCAATACTCAATATTCAATACTCAACTACTCAATAACTTAATACTAGGACTTAACTTTGAGATATCCCAAACAGTGGCACTAAAATAATTGGAATATTTTTGGGGAAATGGCCATGACCTCAAACAAAACAGGAACACGAGTTAATAAGAAACTGTTTCTTGTGGAAAGCTTTGCTTACACTGCAGAAACAAGAAAAAGTTCATTTAAAAGGCATGTGGGTCTTGGGAAAGTGATTAATTACAAAAATTAAGAATTCAGCGTTTCATGGAATAATAATTATACTAGCAACACAAGCTTCAATCTCTAGAATTTCCACAGATGTTTAACACAGGCCAAAGGTCAGAGAACGGCATTTTGATTCAGAAGATTTACAACTGCACTTGTAGGTTCTCATTTAAAATGAGATCTTTTCTGCCACAGTACAAATTTGGACACCTGTAATGCAAAGGGCTGTTTCTAATTTTTGTTTCAACATTATGATATAACTAAAATGAGCGTAAAAGAATGATCACAAGAGTAGCTATAGGAATTGAACCCAAATGAAAACCTAAGTTTACACTTAAACAGACCTGCATCAGACATTTTCCTGGTTGCCAGCCTAAACTTTGGCATTATTTTCTCTCGTTAAAGAGACACATCATCCCACTTGGAACCCTGACCCTAACTGAATGCTCATCACCCTCCAATCACCCTCCTGCACCTTCAGGCGTTGTGCTGACTTCTACACTGAACTGAAAATCCTCAAGGGTCAGCAGAGCCCAGAACACGCTTTTCCTGTGCAATTTCGTTTTTTTTTTTTGTTTAAGCCGCTTTAAACGTGACGCGACGGGTGCAGTCCCAAGGCCTGTTTTCCACCATGGCTGCTCTCCACCATTACCGTCAAGCACGGCTCCACAGAGCAGGGACGGGGGATACCGGGGCGAGCCCCCCCCGCGCCGGGGGACACGGCACACCGGGCTGCCGGGCCGGCCGAAGGGGCTGCCGCCGAGGTGACCGACGGCTTCACCGCCTCACGCTCACGGCTGCCAGCGCTGGGAGAGCGGCGCGGCCCCGGCGGGGCTCCCGGCGGCCTCGCCCCCCTCCGCCGGGCCACTGTCAGCCCTGCCCGGCCCCGGCTCTCGCCGTCATTTCGGAGCCGCCACCAAATGGCTGCCCCGCGTCCCCCGGCTGGGCCCAGCGGCCTAGCGGCGGCGGGGGCAGCCGGCGGCCC